TAATGTCTGAGAAACACATTGTACCAAATATTAATGCAAATTTAAATCTTTCATCCTTCATAAAACGCTGCGTCATGTCATTTACTACCCCTTTATTAATCCATTTCTGGGTCGGGGGGTGGCAATCCGAGCTGCCACCCTCACAAAGCACCATTCCCTCGCTGATCCTCTGCAGGTGGAGGGTCCACGGGAAGATGGCTTCCTTCATTCAAGACACAGCCTTGGTCTTTCAGCGGGGGCTTCAGGCAAAGTCGGGTTAAATGTCTTGCCCAGGGACACACAACGCTGCGTATTACGTTATAATCAATGCTGTAATTTAACATAGGATTTTAACATAGGATAGGAAAATTAATAAGTATAATATGACGTTCGAGAATTTCTGCTTCATTTAATCTTGCATCGTTTATTTTCTTGCACAAAGCATCATAAGAACTTTCCTTGTTATGCATTTTGATTGGCTGTTCTCGGTTGACATTGTTGTAATTGAATGTACGACCTGGACGATGACAAACCCTTTTCATAGCACAAATGCAGCCGCTCTTTATGTTTGAGGCCGTTCTTTGACCTTGTATTTATAACATTGTTTTCCATGGACAGTATTCCAGATGCTCGACACAGTTCTTGCCCTTATTTGGCTCAGCTCATCTCCTCCTATCTGTCAAGTTAACTGTGTTTTTAGGCCTGTTACGACACTTGTGCATCAAAGCGTTCCCATGAATCTAAATCAGGAAACGAAAACATCTTTGGTTTAATTGAAGAATCTGTGCATAAAAAGGCTTTACAAGTAGAAGGCTGCGTGTCCTACTTCCCCATTTTTGGACTGCTGTTGCCATGGTGAGGCTAATTTCTACAAGCCATACACATTAGACTTCTGTTGTCAACATACAGTAGAGTATACAGTCATTCATTCACTTGTGTTTTGTGGGTTGTGAATGAGCTGAGGGGCATTATTTCAACAAACTTTTTTTTTCTTCAATAGACTAGTAGTTCTTTTAACTCAGCTGCTTAAATAGTAATGTGGCCAATGTATTTATTCACTTATTTTGCTAAGCTACCCCAGGGAAGTGCAGGGAAATACACAGTACTTATAGATTATATATATATACATGGACAATACTAACCCCCGAGCTCAATGAAGCCCAATTGGGAAGTGCTCATAGGCAAAGTTTTGGTCCAAGTCGCTCTGGCTCCTATTGGCTTGAGTAAACTCCTAGCTCAGTAACCTTTTGTATCATACTCAGCATTTTGGGCTTTAGAGAAATTGATGGTTTAGCGCTCTCTATGATCCTCATGTTTATATCAGATATGAGCTGTATAATGATATAAACAATCAAATGCTTTCATTTTCTGGGGAAAGTCTTTAGCAAAAGTGTGAAGCAGATGTAGTCCAAACAAATGCCCATTTAGGGAAATTGGCCCCAGCTAGCTTATGTTCAAATCAGCTTCTTCCACATTCAGCCAACACTATGGGTGACATCAGTCCACTCCTGATATAAGATCTATGGTTTTTAAGCTACTGTTGCCTCAATCAGAAAGTCCTGAAGATGACCAACGATTTCTACAGTGGTATACACCCTAGAAACTCTTCTGTCATGCATATATCCTTAAAACAACAGCTCTGATTGTTGTTTTTGGTGTTTTAGACATTAGCAGCAGTAACATTTACCGTTACCGAGAGCTGTTGAAGTGTTTAAACTCCTTAACCGGATCTCTTCTTCCACTTGCTCCTTTTATCCCCCTCTCCTCTCACTTAAGTAGTCTTCCTCACTAATTACACACAGTAGTTTGCCTAATGCACTAACGGCACACAAGGATATTGCATTAGGAGCCCACTTTCTCTTCTGTGTTTGTCATCTTCTCTCCGCCGCTGCTTATACCACAGTGATCAATGTCATGCTCACATATTCAGACGCACGTTGGCTCTCTCGCTAGGTATTTAGAGCCATTAGCATGTGAGCGCCGGAGCAGCAGCAGCGATGAATGGGCCCTGAGTGGCAGCTGTATTGAGTGTGGGTGAAGCATGGCAGTGCACCAGGACGCAGTGCGAGTGGGCATTGTTGTCCCCGGTCTGAAAACGCTCTTTAGACGAGACGGACGGCGACACTGAGAGAGTTTACTAAAGCAGAGGAAGGTTATTGTGACGGTGAGTGTGTGTGTGTGTTTGTCCCACGCATTGATTTACATGGGGAGTTGGTTAGTAATGGAGTTGGCTGGTGCTGATGGGAAAGACTTCGGAACAACTTTTGGGATTTGTATTTACGTTTAACTTTATGCGCAGAGCTGGGGGATATGACAAAATAGCCACGATAATCACAAAAAACGTAAACTAACAACCGACTAAACTGATTTTCTTGATCGCAAACAAGACTGGCATTGATTCAATACCCAATTATTCAAAATATAGGATAAGTATGTTGATTCAAAGTTTTATTATATTCCTTTTATGTTTTTTATATTTTACTAAATCTGCTCAAATCAAAAGCATGTTTGTAATTCATTTTACATTTAAATATTGTTGTACTGAGACCAAAGATGATCCTTGAATACTAGAAATAGTAAGAATCACATTATTCTTACCATTATATTAGCAAATAGTGCGTGCCAAATTACAAAAACTACTAATTGGATATTCTGTCCGGCTGTCTGTCTGGCTTTACTGTCCCTTTGTCCATATTCTTTTAATCTTTCAGTCCCTGGTATAGGGCACTTGCTGTCTGTGATTACCTGCAGGCATTAGGTAACAATGTGGTATTATTGGCCGCCCACTGCTCCGCATATAGTCCAGTGACTCAGACGTTCAACAGCAGCCCTGAAGTGTGTGCTGCTGAGGCCAGATACACTGTGCATTTGCTGACCACTCAGGCAGTGCACTAAACTGTTTTTTACCTGCAGTAATTGTTCTCTATATATATACATATGTATCTGTGATTGTAAGACATTATTGCTTTATAAAGACTGGGGGTGGTAAAAAAGCAACTATCATGTATTTATTGTATATATGCAGAAAATTCACCCACACAGAGGCGGACCAAATGCTATTTTTATTTCTTAAAATTAGAAGGCAGCTACAGAAAATCACACTTTAATTTGTATTGCCAAATCACACAGTAGCTCGATTTATAAAATGGTTGTATAATCACAAGATAATGTCTCAAAGGTAGTCAAGGCAAAACATCAGACTTCTCTTCGGAAAGATGTTTCATAGCCAAGGCTCCTTGACAAATGAAGGCCAAGGTTGACAGAAATATGGACTATTTTAAGATGTGGTTGTCGTGGGTCTGGCTGATTTTTTTTGAGCTTGGGATGAGTTCACGTAAAAGTTTTCAACAAAAATGTCTCCTAGATCTAGACTAAAGCTGGGCAATGTAGCCAAAGAATTATACAATAATATGAGAAAGAATTATCATGATGGCGATGATGCATGGGGAAAATCTTAAATTGCACAACTTTATTAATAAATGCCTATGTACTAATTCCATCGTATTGCTCTGAAAACGTCTGTTTGGCTCTATCACTAGCTTATATTTTAGTTTGTGTATAAAAATAAAATCTGTAAATAATTTGATCCTAGCTCGTGTCTTGTGACCCCCATGTTGAGACCCGCTGATCTACAAAACTAGTTCTGTAGTGTGTTTGTGGATCTCGTGATGCATTGAACTCATGGAACAAACGTAAACATACAGCATCTCTCTCTCTTCACATTTATGTGCTAATCAATTGTCTAATCTGAAGGCCTTTGTTAATTAGCTTCACATGTACAGGAGTAACAATCTGAGCAGGATCACAAATGAAGTCACTCCATGATTTTCCTGGCAGCTCATTGGTGCATATGATTCACCCACTCCTGCCACACTCACGCTGGTCTCCTGTGCTAAAGCAGGACTATTAATAGCTTGAGCCATATCAGTGTCAGTGCCCTTTGTCTCCCCACCACAAAACAGTCCTCTAGTCTTTCCCCTTGCACCCCGTCCCGGCTCTTTATGCGCCCCTGTCTTTCACTCAGACCGCAGGACACTCCGATCGGGTTGCTGGTTCAATCAGTTGTAGCACTGGCCTGACTGTCAACAGAGGTGTGTGCTGGTTTGCCCACTAAGATTGATGTATATGTGGAAAACTGCAGGAAGTCAATATTGCCTGTTGAAGAGAGTTATCTTAAGCTATTTATTTATTTTCTGAAAACTTATAACCTACTCTTTGGCTAGGACTTGTGAATTTGTTGACAAGCCAAAACAGAAGGTTGGCCAATCGATCGTTACAACATGCACACTGATATGCTTGCGTTTAAAGCCTTGTTATGTAGTCTGCTGTAATGGTTTTTAAATTGAGTATTCAGAATAGCCAGGCTGTCCCTTTGGGGTCTTGTATCCCTGCAGCCATGATTTGACACATGCGCGTGGACTATATTACAGCCCATGTTCTTCTTGCTTGCTTGCTCCCCCATGTTATATTGAATTACATATGTTAAACTCACTAAACTTTCTTTTGAATTGACACGCTGCTTGTAACACACATGATTGCTGGAAATGTATAGTTTAATCATGCATGTTTGGATGTTTATAGTTTTTGGAGTTTAGTTTGGATGAAAGACTGCTCATAACTTGCCCAAGGCTAGTTTTTAATGCTTGGGGCGGACCTGGGCTAAAACCACAAGCCAACGAGGACAGAAGTCTCTGTCTATTTTGACATGTTTTGTTGTTCATATGGAAACTACAGAGACGGGAGATAATCACATGAAAATGACAGCTGCCTCGTGACACCTTCTCAGTAGAAATGTTTTGTGTTTTCTCCTGAGTGTCACGGCGTGTTCGCACAAGCGCTGAATGCTGCAGGTCCACATCGCACCCGTCAGACATCATCCTCTGAAGCCACTTTCTGTTGCTCAATGCGTTTCCTCTTAACCTCTATGTTGACATGCTTTTGTTATTAGAGTTTGGATTTCTGTCAAGCTTCACGGCTCCGTCACATCAGGAGCGTGTCTGATGCGTGTCTCTGTCCCATAGGGGTGTCGTCCCGAAACCCCAAGATCATGGCGGCGGGCACGCACTCGCCGGGAGGCCCCAACGGTATCATCCGGAGCCAGTCCTTCGCTGGGTTCAGTACGCTGCAGGAGCGGAGGTCGCGGTAAGGCTTCTAATTAGTGATTATTCAGGTCACTCACAAGGCTGCTAAAAGTCAATAATCAGGACTATTTTTGCAGCCAAATCAGTGCTTCACTTTTCATCTGGCTGGTTATATCCTATTCATTAACTTTCATTAACTGCATCATTCAGATGAAGCACATTCTCTGCAGAAGAATAAAGTGAACCCTTTAGGGATCAAACGAAGCAGGATTGCTTCATGAGCTACTGTATTCAGGACTTTCTCCACAGCGACCAGGCTTCTGTGGACATTTCCACAGATCTTTCTTGCATCTTGAACTTCGGATGTGAAATGTTGATGAAAAAAACAAAAAAACACTCACATAGTCATAGATTAATTTTGTCAGTTCATCTGTATTTCTCTTGTAAGATAAGTATATATAACAGAATAATACAACAGAAATTATCCAAAAAATATGTTCATCCTTTTTTATATTCTAATAATCAACATACTGTAACTAAAATGTTAAATCACGAAATCAAGGGCTTCCACTAAAGTAAAGAGAAGACTTTTGTCTTGAAGTAGTTTGGGTGTTTATGGACTTATGTTCATGACCTGGACAATTATTCTTTTGAATCATAGATTTGTTTTTTAGGTTCCGTAAGGTCAGGATTTTTTATATTTTTGACCAAAACAAAAGCTCAAGCAATTCCCCTGGAGAACATCTTCTTAGAGAGGACTATTATGTTGTTAAATCAAATATTATATTTTTTAAATTCTGTAGTCATTAGACTTATTTGAGTCATAAATCCCCTTCTTAGCATGTTTAAATCAGTGTTTTGTTTAAAAGTTGAATAATAAAACGGTTTTAATTAGTTGACTACTATTTCAGTAATGGATTTTGTGATTAATCAATTAACTTGTTGCAACCCAAACAACACTTTAAATGTGGTTCCAGATTATATGAAAAAGTTCAATATTGTCTCCATAATCATTGGGAACATTGAAGAAAAGAAAAAAAGAAAAGCTGAGCAAGAATGTGAAGCGCAGATGACACAGATGATAGTCGGATATACTACTTCAGTTGGACTTCCTCGTTGACAGAAAGATGATCACGATTGACACCAGCTCGTGGCAGATAAGGGACTTCCTGTTCTGAGTCATCACCTCTGACCGCAGAATCACAAGACAAAACCTTCCCGAAGTATCCATCTCAGTCTGTGCTCGGTGTCGTCTCTGTCGTCAGCCCAACTCTTGTTTTGAAGCCACTCTCCTCACGGCTCAGACTGAAAATGAAATAATTGGTTGGAATGAGCCGGGTGTGTGGGCGACAGTCGGAGGATGGCAACTTACTGTTCAGATAATGAGGGAGGAGGAGAGCTGGGGCTTCTGGGGGCCAACAGTTTGGAGAAAATGGACTCATTTCTACCACTCGTTTCAAATATTTTTCACTGTCACTGCCCTTATGTTGACGAAATGTACAGAAACTTTGGCCCTAAAGGAAAATGGCTAGATGGAGAGAAATTGGATCATGACAACCTGGAATACAAATTATTCTTCCAGATATTACAGTAAAATATCTGGAATTCTGCATTGTTTCATATTCTTAGCGTATTTGATGGTCATTTGTTGTGTTCCTTAAAGTTCTCATCCAAATAATGATACACTTATTATTACATTTATTTAGATTTTTCATCATGGCCTAACTTGATGCTTAGGGGATTCATAAAGAAGAAGCATAGTTACAATTAAAGCCGTGTTGCCTGCATGTGTCTCCACAGATCACATGACCCTTAGGGCTGGAGTTGTGCCCTACATTTGTGGCAGCTTAGTCTAAGTCGTGTTCGCTGGCATGAGGCGAGAAGCGGCACGATCCAACTTGCCGAGCTGCGTCCCAGAGATGATTCTAAGATCGTTTCATTAATGCTCTGCAAATGTCATTGTTCTGCTCAATCTGAAATGGCCTCAAATGGTGGAGGAGGCAGCTGTGGTCAAAGATGAGGGAGAGGTCGTACTGTAAAACATGAAAGCAACTTGTTAATAAACATTTTCATAACGATGCATTGTGGGTTGTGGGTGACTTTGTGTCCAGCTATCTCTCTGCAGTAAGTTGTCAGGTTAAGGGTAGAGGTGTGTCACATTTTCTCTTTATTGCTTTGCAGTTTGTTGCTTATTCTAGTCAGAGCTGCCTCATAAATGGGTGATAGATGCTCTTCCTGCTTCAGGGCAAAGTGAAGGAATGAAGAATGCTCCAATGACATTGAGCGCCCGCAACTGTGATTGCCTCAGTGTGTTTTTGCTTGTGTTTGCTGCTCTCCCTTTCAGCAGCAGATAGATGGTAGCCTGCACATGCACAGGTCACTGGCAGGATGGATGGGGCGAGAAGATCAGGTTTACATGCATTTGCTCACTTTGCTGTGTACACACCTGGGATTTACCATCTCACACTGACATTGATTAATCAGCTCTTGCAAGTGTGACTAGCATTCAGAAGAGCTGTTTGAATAATACGTGGGCTAAAGTGGTGTCAGTCGAGTGTGATAGGAACTGTTTGTGACAAATGGGTGAAGTTGTTGCAGAGGTTATCCAAAGGACAAAACAATCAGGAATCTCCGGTGCGACCACTCTACCAGAGGAAGAAGCCATTAGCAAGTTCCTGCTTGACTGCTGTTTGATTCTCAACATATACATTCATTAATGTACCTTTGTGTTGAAGGTGTAACTCCTTCATGGGGAACTCTGCTGTGCAGAAGAAGCCCCAGTCTAAGCCCAAGAAGTCTCACTTGTCCGGACACAAAGGAGGAAGTGGGTCCAGAGAGCCTCAGCCCAAAAGATTAGAGGAAGTCTACACTGCTCTGCGACAAGGCCTTGAGTGAGTTTGACTTTGGAAACATTGAATTACATTTAATATTAATATATTTTATAAAACTTATGTATTGTTGCTTTTCATTTATTTTAATTTCTATAACCTTTTCCATTTGTGACAAAACGTTTTTCAGACTGACTATATTACTTTTATAATAGTACAGTATGTACGCCATAATGCGTATGTATGTTTATGAAATTGTTATAAGAATATTTTTTAATCTCTGTAGTGAATACCTAGAAGTCCATCAAACAGAACTGGACAAACTCATGTTACTGATGAAGGACATGAAGAGAAACTCTCGTCTGGTGAGTCACTCAAATATTCACAATTTACAAATTCACTAAATGTATCTAGTATTCACCCACTTGCACAGAACAGAGCATTCTCATTATTATTCTGGAGGCAGTATGTTTGACAATTTGTCAAGCCAGACTTTTTTCATGTGTTTTGCATAATATAAGCCGCAGCTGTGCCCCCGGACTAACTGTCATCTTTTGTCTGTTCCCTCCAGGGAGTTCTGTACGATCTCGACAAGGTGAGTTTACGTTTCACAAGTGACAATTTGGACACATCTAAGATTAATGCATTCTGTCTGATCAGTGTTGAGATGAGGCAAAATGTATTGAAACATAGAATGTATCATTCTGTCTTTTGCAGCAAATCAAAAGCATCGAGCGATACATGAGACGACTGGAGTTTCACATGAGTAAGGTGAGCATCAGCGTCACAAAATCTGTCACGAGTTATATACAAGAACATATTGAGGTGGCACATTGATTAGTTAAAACAGGGGCAACCCTTTTCCACATACATGCATATTTTCTGTACTGTATTTTATTTTTATTTTTTGCCCTTACAGAATTTCTTGTAGACAAACAACATTGTAACCAAATCAGACCACAAATTGCTCCCTTCATCTTATTTTGCAGACTTGTAAGAGCCCTGTGAGTCACTGTTTGATGCTTTGATTGCTCAGCTTTTTGGTCTGAGCAATTTCATGACAGAAAAAACTGACAAACAAATGCATGTATGTGAGAATTAGTGATGGAACCAAATTGTTTTGAGAGCGAGGAACTAGTAGGATGTTCAGTATATGAATGTGTATATGAATTATATTGTGGTTTGAATGTCAGGAACCCCAGCTTTAAGTTTAGGCTTACAACCCTGGGCTTTTTTTTTGCTGTGACTTTGCACTGGCATCAAAGCCTTAGAGTCCAGATTAAAAAAAGTTGGGATCACATATCCCAATTTCCTCCTCCACGTTGGTTGCGCCGGTCAGTGGTTGCGAACAAAAGCGTCTCCGGAGGTCATTTCTCTCCTGTGTCTTCCTTTTGTGGACACAGTAATGGCCTCCGTCACTGCGCGTCAAATGGGACGGTGACAGCGACCCATCGAGACACACGCCCCAAAGGTAACCATAGTAACCCCAAGACGGGGCTTTTGATCTACGGGGTGCTGTTAACCCTTTATGGTCGGGACAAGATCCAGACAAAGCACACACACAAACACACGGCAACATCAGTGGAAAGGTGGAACTGTGATTGTGGAAGAGGGCAGCAAATGTAGAACGCGCAGGAGAAGCAGTTTGGAGTGGCACTTAAGAGGTGGTTAGACGACCAGAATAGGGCTAGGGTGAGTCAGACAGAAAATTGCCAAGGAAATGTGCTGTCAATGCCATAAACATAAAAAAGATGTGTCAGTGGGCAGGAGAATTGAATATGAGGATGTCAACAAAATGCATAGGCAGACACTAAAACTATATTTAATACTTTATGAACAATTTCTTTAAAGTTGTCGCATGTCATTGATCTATAGTAGACCACTCCTCGTTTAATGTTAAAGAATCTCAAAGTACATCTGTGAAATGTTATTGTCATATGAACCAACTTAGGAGCACAGGGACTGGCCTCCTGCTGTGCCCAGAGTCTGGACTAAACATGGAGAGGCAGCGTTTTCGATTCATGCAACTAAAATCTGGCACAGTCTTCCTGAAAATGTGAGACGGGCTTGTACACTGGGTGATTGTGTGATTTAAAAGTTTTTTTTATTGTTTTGTTAAGCACTTAGAGTGGCCTTGTGTATGAACTGTGGAATACAAATACACTTCCCTGTCCCTCTACACATAATATTTTTACTTGGTAGAAACATGTCCCTAAATATCTTTTTTAACTGACAGTAGTAGTAGCATTCCATTATCTTTCCTTTAAAATTATTCTGACAATATAGAGTGATGTGTATCCGCAGTGACTTTAGACCTTTTGTTTTGTCCTACAGCCCTTTATTTTTTAATCATTGTTCTGGGCTTGTGTGTGTGTGTGCCTATAGAAGCTTTGCTCTGCTGCTTCATAAATGGCAGATTTTGTCAAGAGCCGTGGCTCCAGTCCCAAGATGCATTTTTATTTAATATTGCTCACAATGGTAAATTATCTATGGACTGTATTTATAGCCACCGAGTACATAATATATAAGGTGATGCGGAATTTTCTGACTTTTATTCTATGTCTCGTCTGTTTCTTTCACCAAACCCGGAGCACTACTTCTATGCGTGTTCCACTTTGTCTATTATTACAGAAAAAACACACACAGATTTGAAGCTTGCTGCGTCTTGCAAAGTTGTCACTGAACGCAGTTAAAATAGCTATTTGGAGCTGCATAGTTTTGGATTTTTGTTCCTTTTTCAAAAATAGATTCAACTTGAAATGATGAAAGTTTGCTTGGGTTGATAGGCAGGGCAGGTAAAAAGGCTGCAAGAGTGAAGCGTGACTTTAAAGTAAGCTAATTTGAGCCCTGCATGCTCTTTATTCTATTCTCAGCACAGGTACAGAACTTTTTCAAAGCTGCCCTGATATTTTTTGTGCTGCATCCACCCGTGGCAAATCCAAAACGTGAAAGTTACATGTTGCCATCAGCCAGCACAAAGGGCCCAATGCTGTAATCTGGTGTCATTGAAATGTGATCACCTCAGGCTTTCATACCCTTTGTGCTTCTCAACATGCCCCAACGTCAGCAGATAGCTACCGAATGAGATCAATGCACGAGAAGCTGTCGGATAGAATGTGCAGAACATTTTGCAACATCAGCTTCTATTGGGACATTTCACGATATTCAGGAGATATCTGGCAGTTGATACAAAATAAGAATTAATGCAAAAAAGGCAAGCAGTATTTGGATATGTACAGATACCGACAGAACCGGCCTCAAACAGACGAGCGTGTTCGGACAAAGACAAAAATGTAAATTTCTAATCTTAAAGGTGGGAACTTAAAGATGCTGCGGCTTCATCCGACACATTATGGCACTAAACCGGTGTATCTGGCAAAGACAAAGAGTAATGGCCACCAATTATAAGTCAGATATGTAAACCGTGCAGCCCACACCCACAATAGTAATCCATTGTTTTCTTTCTGTCACTGAAGACATTGAATCAAAGCAAGATTGATGGTATTACTGATGTAATTTGGGACATTTCGGTGAAAGCAATAACATCTCCACCAAAATAGTTATAGCATTGTTTTTGAACCAGTGTGCCAAGAAACAATTGAGTTTATAGATTCACATGGTCGTCTAACGTAATAATAGGCCATTATCTTTCGTCTTTTCGTCTCTTACGACGTTCTGTAATCGGATCAACTTGATCAGTGCTCTGTTCTTTGTGGCAGCTGTTAAGTAAATGCTTAAAAAGATTCAGTGGGCAACATTTGTGACCGGGTCCATAGCTGCTTTTTGCAATAAATTCCCAGCTTTCTAAACAGTTGGGTTCTATAACTAGTCTATTACAGTCTCTGGTTGTCACATGCATATTTATTTGGCCTCTTCCACTGAAAAAGCTAAAGATTGCTAGCTCTCACTCGACCAATCGGCTGTGAGAAAGATAATGACAGCATGTTGTGGTCTGATGTGTTACTTAAACAAAACTTCCTGACAAACAAAATATCTCCATGAAGCTAACCAAAAGTTGTTTACTCCAGCTTTAACCAGAGATCCGAGTGCCTTGATTCGAGCTCTGTGCAGTCACTCGATCATATTATGCTAAGTCGAACATACTGTAGGCATTTCTACTTATAGTCGAGCATTTCCCCTGGTATAAAATTCTCTGAAACGTGACACATCCCATAAATAGCTCGTTGTGTGATCAGCTGTGCTCGGTTTGTTAGAATGTATTCATGTTTCGTCTTGTGGAGGACAGCTGCCGTGAGCCGTGACTTTACGCTCCTCCATCAGCACATCTTTATCGGCGCCCTGACTCACAGCCCCCCGGGTCTTTGTTTGGGACGGCGGGCGCAGATGTCCGAGCTGTAATTGGCACACAGCGAAATATGAAGAAGGCAGGTGCCGCAGCGGGACACTTCTGCAGATGTAGATTTTTTTTATGGCCGCAAACCAGGGTAGGGGATTAAGTCATCTGGAGATTAGTGTTCAATGTTTCTTATCACCATACATTAGAAAGATTCCGTCAGTGAAGCAAACGTATAGCAATCCATATACATCCTGTCCTACTGGTAGTGGATGTTTCCTCATTGAGACAATACTCATATGAGTGGGTGAAATGGTTTTTGAACAGTCAATTTGTGGGTCACTGGCACTTCCTCCTCCTAAGCTGCTGCTGCTGATTATAATTACACAGCATTCGCTTTTCCTTAAAGGGCTTTGCAGATTTTCCAAGCCATCACCCCTGTCCTCAGACTCCTGATCACGAAGGGGAAAAAACCTCAAGAGTCGAACAAAGTCTGGTGCGCTTTGTTGTCTGGCAAGTGTAATGCTCCACAAAGGGAAACTAGACTGTAGTGATATAAATTGTGGAGGTATAATCCATTACGAATAGTGCAGCCCCAGAATCTTTATTAATATGTATTACATTTGATGGAGACAAATTCAAGATTCCTGAAATATTTAAATTTGAAAAAAAGGGCAATCATTGTGATAGAGGGGCATTGAATGGAACATGAGAAGTATTTGTTCAGTAAAGCAGCTTGTGAAGTCATGTGATGTTAAAATCTAATTACCAGTCCCTGAGTTTTGGATTTTTTGCCGAAATAGTTTCTTAAAGTGAATCTCAGTTATTATTCAAATTGTGACAAGAGTGGAACTTTTTGAATACTACACTGGTCAGACCCATCCATGCTCACCTCTGCAGCTTTCTGAATGGACAAAATTACCCTCGAGGCCCATGGGTCTTCTCCAGCAAATATTACTGGTGGTAGTTATGCCCAGGGGAGCAACTCTTTTTGATAGATTGTTGAAATGTTTTAAGGCACATTGTCCGTAGTTGATAATATACATAATTTAAAAAATATAATTCCTATTCATTTGCTGACATTTGCCCCCTCGCCTGCAGATGGTGGCATTTCCTTTAACATCTTTAAAAGGTCTTGAATTGGACGCGATCAAACTGGAGCTGCCCTGTACAAAGCTATAGAATATGGGAGAACTAGAACTACTGTGTAATTTACATGTTGTTATTGGAACTCCCAACTGTTCTGTTCCGTGACAGAAACTCTGCCCAATTGACCCGTCACTCTCGCTCCATAACAACAAAAGTAGGAAGTGCATTTTAAACCTGCCAAATCCAGGCCAGACTGAGCACTTGGCATGTGATTAATATAGGCCATGCTGCTTTCCATGACTCCCTTGAATGCTAATCTTACCACACACACTCTCACACACACACACACACACACACACACTGCTCCCCAGAGAAGGAGTGTGTGTGTGCTGGACGCTGTTTGATGTGTCCCGCCTGGTATAATCTTCTTATAATCACTCACCCCCCTGGCACCAAGTCTATGTGTACATGCACAAGCTCCCGTCCCGTTATGAGCTGGGATAATGGACGTATCTTAAGAGGATTCCTGTAATAATGTTTAAAAACCCATACACTTAGATGTACAGTAGATACAGTCAATATGAGGCTATTCTGTCTGCAAAACGAAACCTTTCCATTCTACGATTTTCATTTATAAAACCAGTGTTAAAGATGCACAGTGTCTTCATCAAGAGCCTGTTTTGTGGAGATGTTGCTGAGTAGACGTTCCACAGTCTAGCCTTAAATGGATCTACGTTGCATTTATACACAGGTCACAACACAGGAAAACTATGTTGAATTGTATAATTAAATGTTTATTCACATTTTAATTCTATAGTATTATTCTCATTGCTTTTTGTTATACAATTGAATTTTATTATGTGAATTGATTTTTATGCATAATTCTAGCTATGACTTCAGACTAGCTAAGGGGCATCCAAATAGATACAATAACACATCCATATAGACAGTGGAGCAATCTGTGTAGAGGCTGATTGCTCCTGAGAAACTGATAAAAACCGTGATGACCAATAATATTCCTTGGTTAATCTGCTCAGATATATAGATATTCTTACTTGATTTGTTGCATTTAGAAAAACAATGGTTTGTACTTTAGATTAGGAGGAGACTACTGTTGCTTGAATTCTGAATAATATCTCTCTATACCAGATCAAATACAAATAATTGCACATTTAACTACCAGTTTTTTTCGCAGTGTCCATAATAGTGTTTCCTGGTATTCTTTCCTGTCTCGTTCCATTATGTCCATCCATTGGTTGGTTTCCCACTGTGTTCTAATTAAAATGGGTCTTAATTGGGAATACATGTGTGGTTGTGTCGCATCTGGAGACATGTCATTACGAAGGCACAGATGGTTTTTATCTGCTGCGTGTGAATCTCCTGCCATCAAATGATCCATGCAGTGTCAAAAACACAAGTGAATGATGACAATGTTATGGATTATTAGCCTGACAATGGCTTTTGTGATGCAGTTTACAGCTGTGACGGTGGAGAGGGGATTTTCTCAGTAGAATCTTTCTTTGCACCGACCATTACCTTTTATGTTGTATCGTATCGTCTTTGTCTCGAGTGCAGCGTCCCTGGTGCTGCTCAATGCTGATGGACATCCTCGTCTGACTTGGCTGACCTTCAGAAGGGCATTTCCTTGAAGGCTCCAGGAGGATATTTTAATTGGGACTAAACGAGTTCAATTAGTGGGATATTGTGTGATTGCTGCTGATTGGTTGGTTTGGGTCCTGAGTGTTCATTGGTTGCAAATTCCCAATGAGGGTTGAGAAAACCTCTTGATCTGTTCTAATACCCTTATACATGGTTCTAGTCTCATTATTATGCAAATCGTTATATTCAGAAAGAAAAGGCAAAAGGAAGGCAGTTGGCATGTACTGATTTGTGGCCTTAGGAGAATAACATGTTTTGTTGTACAGTAAATACACCCATTTGTATTGAGGAAGCAGAGTTTGTTGTGGTCACATGGTTGTGGCTCAAAGTTGCCGCACCAGCGACCACAGGCAGACGGGACGTCCCATCTGGGACTGTGGCGCACTTGTGGTATTGGGCTGGGTGCCTTTTAGTATGTTGTGCCAGGCTAATGTATATATTTCATTGTTTGTCAGAGAGACTGTCTGGAAAAGAGTGGGCCTAATCTGCTGTAAAAACCTATTCTCTTTATTATTAAAACTTAAACAAGACAATGTGGCCACCCCATTAGCTATTTTCTTCCTTTTTTTGCGATCAATAAATTACTAGTGTCTACCAAATTGTGAATTCATAGTATTACATTTCTAATTGTATGGAAACTCCATCAAAAAGTGTAAGTAAAATTATTTCAGTAGCTAAGCCAGCAATAATAGTTGAGCCAGTTGAGATAATAAACTATTACCGTTTGTTAATTAAATCACCACCTCAAATCTACACACATCACAACAGAGTATTTCTCTATTGTCCATGTCAGAAATACATATAGGCTCTCTCTGAGTTCCATGCTGTCATAAAGCTGCATAAACAAACAGGGAGAGAAGCTGTTAGTGGCAGGAGGCAGAGCCCATTCCTCTCTTCTCTAATGAGCACCGTAAAGAGAAAACCACATCAATATTTCAGAGCACTGTGATCACACCCAACACAAGCCCCTTCAGAGGTGTGCTGCCTCCGTTTTCATATTTCACCAGATGTGAGCAACAAAAATATCTTTCTTATGCTCCGTTTGGTGAAGACTTGAACAGTGAGAATTGCATGCTGGGTTGAAATCCCCCAAATTTGATTTAATAAAACCCCATCTTAACTCAGTCGTACCAACTTCCTTGCTCTCAAAACAGTTTAGTTAAGGAGAGGACCACCCTCCCTCGGCCAATCAGCTCTCAGCCGAAAACATGAAAAAGTGATTCACAGGGCTGTCTTCCAAGTATGCAAAATACATAATATTTTCAAACAAGCTGAAGATGGCATGTTGTTGTCAAATTCTTTCACATTCTTCTTTTAAAATAGTCTTCTGTTGGGGCAAACATGGGTAAAGTGAAGAATCCCTGCCTGAAGATGATTTTCTAGTTTGTGTTCTGGGTGGAGCATTCAACTTGTATTTCATGAGATGAGATTTCGTGTTAACAGTACTTTTAATGTTGTTATAGCAGACTTGATGTTGTTGTGAGCCTGGGTCCCGGTGGCCTCTTGGTTTGTGTGATGTCTCTCATCTTGAAGTGTGTTTTCTGCCCCTTTGGGAGTATCCCACTGGGGTCGTACACAGGACACTGCAGGCTGCTGTCAGAGAGAAGACATCTGTTTCTATCAGATCTCTTCACTTTCAGAGAACACAGCATTGATTATTGTGTGGAGAATCTATACATTACAGGCCTCAGCATAATTAAAATGTATGCTGTGAAAAGGAAAGTTCACTAAATAACACCAATGGACCTGAAAACGCATACTTTTTACACAATAGTATAATTCATTGGTTTTCAAAGGGCTATTTTTGGACTCTCAAAGATGCATCCCATAGCATTATTAACCCTATGCCCTGGGGCAGGCTGACAGAAGCAAGGAAACCAGTATGTGCCATCGGCCCCTCCAACCCCCTCATACTAGGCAATGTGGGTGAAGTGCCTTGCCTAAGGACACAATGGCAGTTTGGCTCTTTACAGCTGCAGCCATCGGCCTCAGCGGTCTACCATCACAGTACTAAACAGGCCATGCCCTGCTTAGCTACATGCAGGTAAAAGCCAGAAAGTTGTAATAGCATGTACACAGCAGCTTGCAAGATTAAGATTGTGTATACATAGCAGAAAATACTATTAGTGCTGTGGTAAGTATATGATTTTACATTTTAATCACAGAAATCAAACATTTCATGTGAAACAGACAAAATATGGATCACTGAAACTTTATACGCGCTAAAGGTCTGCTAAAATATACTACTAAAATAAATGAAATTATAATGAAGAAAAAGGAAGGTTGTTTCATAGAAGGTATTGTGGATTCACTATGTTTTTGCAATTCTACTTTGCCGCCTTGAGGGTTACATTTTTATAATACCGAAGATACTACTTGACATTAAAATCCAGTCCAAAAGGGCATCGGTTATTGGGACATTGTGGAGAAAAAATGAATAAAAAAACAAGTTTGAGGAGGTTGTGGACGTTTTTGCCTGCAGCTTTCTAAACTAAACCGCAGGAAGGTTTGTCTTTTAAACACATGGGATATTTCTGTTTCTGTTGAAAACTTTGCTTTAAATATCACTGTTAACTTAATGCAGCACAGGCCTCCAGCTGTGTTCTGATGTGAGTCCCAGCGAGGTGTGAAGAACCTGGCGTCATTTGAATGGCAGTTTGTGCGCTGCGGGATGTTTTTGATGCAAGTTTTGGCACGGAAATACGACTCGTAACTTGGTGTGCAGTCGAGTTGAATGATAAAGTTTACTCTAGAGTGCTTGTAGCCATTCATTAAAACTGAGGACCTGGGTGTTTCTGTTCAGGTGGACGAGCTGTACGAGGCGTTTTGCATCCAGAGTCGGTTGCGGGACGGTGCCATTCGGATGAAGCAGGCGTTTTCGTCGTCTCCGTCCACTAAAGCCACAAAGGAGAGCATCGCAGAGGTCAACCGCCGCTATAAAGAGTACACGGAGGTACAACCACATTTCATGCATTACAGACAGACACAAATTGTAATTCAGGTTTCTGCCTGTAGAGCAAAGCTTATTCACCTGGCCGCTCGAGAGTCGAATCAGACCAAACAATCAAATCTGCCCTATCCTTCAAACATAAAATCTATACTTTTTTCTTGTTTACTGGTTTTGTCTAGTTGTCTGCGTGTATACTCCAACATACTTTACAACATCATATAATTGCTAGTATAACATGATAGTAATCATGTTTTATCCTTTTATTCTAATTCTTTATTATTTGCGCACCTCTGTGATTAGTTTAGAGCAGTGTCTCCCAAAGTGGGGTCCGCGGCCCCCTGGTGGGCCGCGAGGGTACTGCAGGGGGCGCGGGAGGTCATAAAAAAAATAAAAAAATAATATAATTATTTAATGTTAAATTTATAATGTTTTGTTTGTTATATTAAAATATTTGTGTTCATTATTTGACTTGAATAAGCCACTGTAATCATTTTTGTATAACAATGTTTGTAGCAGAGGCTATTTCCCCAAATAAAATAACCAGAAGAGCCTATTCTTAATGTTGTCTTCTTGGTTATTATTTTGGGGGGCCACGCAGACCCGTCAGATTTTTAAGGGGGCCTCGGTGTTACTGAGTTTGGGAATGGCTGGTTTAGAGGACTACCGCTGTCTGTCCTATAGCCCTCAGTCCTGCTCCTGACCCCTCATGTCCTCTGCAGCTGTATTTTACAGTGTATGCACGGCTTTTGACAGCTGCTGCAGCACTCAGACTCACAACAAACAGGTATTTGTGACTTCAGGTGGCTAGAAAAGTGTATGGTGAGGGGTTTTACAGCCTTAAAACAAAGAGCTACTACATTGCAGATTTTTCCTATTGCGGGTTATTTTTAGAACTGCAATAAATTACTGACCAAAAAACTAAAATATTTCAGATGTTATTAAATTGTAGCCCTTGGTGTGCAGTTATCGGACCCTGAAACCATGTCCCCCGAGCAAATAAAGTTGAATAGCCCTGATGTGTCTGTCCCAAAATATGTATTGTGTCATGCATTGCCAGTAAAAATAACCGTTCTCATCAGTAAACCTTTCTTCAGAGTTCTTCCTCAATCTTTCCTCACTTTAACACATGCACTTTTGCTCGTGGCAGCTGTCCAAGTGGCTTACAATACGTCTTAATTACACACCTGTCTTCAGCTGCCACCTCGGCTCACGCAACATCTAAGCGGCTTTGTGAAGGATCTACTGATAACTTGATTACTGCTGTCAATGTGTTGTGATCCTTTGGTTTTATCTTTGTCACGTCTAGAACATGAGCACGTTCGAGACCGAGCTGGAAAACCTGCTGGGGGAGTTCCATATCAAAATGAAAGGTGAGATGCAAAACAAAACGGTAAATCTTTCAACATGTGGATTCACTGGAAATAGGAATAATGATCTAGTTTGATATTCGAAGTAAAGTAAGATGTGTCTTGTATCGTTTTAGGATTGGCTGGATTTGCAAGGCTTTGTCCAGGAGACCAGTATGAGGTAAGCAACAAAAAGGATGACTCAGATATTAAGTAAACACTGTCTAAAACAAATGGATTTTGATTTCAGATTTTCATGAGATATGGTCGCCAGCGGTGGAAGTTAAAGGGAAGAATTGAAGTGAACTCGAGGCAAAGCTGGGACGGAGACGAGATGGTGTTTATGCCGTTAATAAGTGACCTCATTAATATCAAGGTACAGAGAAAATGGAACATGATGCTTTTTTTTTTTACTAATCTTGTTTACTTGCCATCATCTGACTGTATCTTGGGAAAAGTGTTTCTGGAAAAGCCTTAAAGCTGTTTTTTGTTTTGTTTTTTGGTCTATCAGGTGACTGAGCTGAAAGGCCTGGCCACTCACATGTTGGTGGGCAGTGTGATCTGTGAGACGAAGGAGCTCTTCACGGCGATGCCTCAAGTGGTGGCTGTTGACGTAAACGATCTTGGCACCATCAAGCTGAACCTGGAGGTCACGTGGTAGTAAGTATTATCTTCCCATAATCATTCAGATATGTGGGATGATTGCCCTATGGTTAAATACTGCCATCTGGTGGACAATAGTCTGGTACTGTATATGCAAGTACAAAGGAGCAGAGAATTTCCCTCATCAAGCCCCGGCGATCCAAGATGGCGCCCTATTCAAATGAATGGTTGTGCTTAGTGGCGCTTTGTGACGGCATGGGGGCTGAAAGATTAGCGGAAGTTGCCTGAAACTCGCAAAGATCTATGGGAAACTCGCCTGTATTTGGGCATCGTCTGGTCCTCCCGGTTCTGTGCAGTGGATGATCTCCCATAATGCGTTGCGCCAAACACGCGTGTGTGGGTCTCACACCGGGTCTCACGCACGTGCACAGAGGGGCTCGGCCGCGCTCTGACCAATCAGAGCAGTTCATCAGAGCGGGAGTTAGAGCGAGAGCCAGAGGAGCAGAGTTTGTGGCACTAAAGTGTGGATTTAAACAAAACCGAAGGATTTAAGAAGAAAAAAAGTTCAGGATGACAAGGGACACTAAAATCCCCACAAAATCCGATCTTTATTAAAGCTGTAGGTTCTCTGTCAGCTGAGGTTGAGCTGTTTTAATATGCATTGAGTTCTATGGGGAAAATTTCTGGGTAGCCCACGTGAATTTAGTCTGGTTCAGTCTGCAGTACCGCGAGAATCCCCTGAGCACATGAGTTATTCAGCTACAAGCTAGTAATACCCTATCCAGTTAATATAATAGATCCATGGGATAAATAGATTGTCCATTTATCGGTCAATTTGATTTGGTGAATTGGACGTCATTATCCAACTGTATCTTAATAATAATTAAGATAATGTTTAATAATGATAATAATGTTTCTTCCATGTTCTAATTATACAACTACAACCACACCAAAGTTACGGACAACTGTGAAGTAAAAGCAAAATGATAAATGAAAAATAGAAACGTGGAAACCTCGACTTTTGGGGAATGACTCTCTATAAGTGGTGCACATCTAGAGATTGATAGTTTTGCTCATTCCAACTCAAAGCTCTTTCTGATTAGGTTTTCATTTGGAAGCCCCGCTTTTCAGTTTTTATTTCCAAAAGAAAATCATGTTTCATTTTGCTTTCACTTCAGTTGACTGGTTTTTAATTAGTCATACGTCGACAAATTAGACACCACAACCCAAATAATGAGGGTATACTGGATGTGTCTTTAAGATAAAAGAATCTCCATGTATTAATTTTGGGTTTCTCTGTTGCCAGCCCCTTTGATGTGGAGGACTTGACTCTATCATCTTCTAACGTGAGCAAAGCTGCAGCCATCCAAAGACGAGTGTCGGTCTACAGCCAGGGCACACCGGAGACCCCCACTTTTCAGGACACCTCCTTCTTTGTAAGTGCATTCTCTTGAAGTAATGAATATGTTGTGTTTGTTTTGATATAAGTTTTAGGATAACCCCTGAACTAAGCCATTTCTAGTGCATCACTGGTTTAGTTGCCCTCAAAACTAACCCACATCCATTTTCCCATGTTGCTTCACTCTGGATTTTCATTACTAAACCCTAACCCTCACCCGCACTCTATCCCACTCCACCCATTACCCACTCAAATGCCCCGTGTCTCGCTGGGTTTGCGCTTGTATCAATAAGTGGCGGCCCAGTCCGGTGGAACGCCATCACCTCTCCTTCCTGCACATGCTTCGCGACACACTGCTGGAAAAGCTGAGGCGCAGTCGCTCATTTGGGGACCTGGCCTCGCTTCGGCCACGCCCCAAATCCAGTCTGGAGGTCTATGTGAGTGAGGGGTGTGCAGTGGTTCGCAGACTGTCTCCGTTTGCGGTTTTTGCTGGTGGCTGTGCATGCTTTCTATTGCGTTGTTTGGTTGACTTTGGTTGTGTTGATTCTGCAAAAATAATAATACAGAGTAAATGGGTTGTTGTAATTTTATGTGAGCTAGAGTCCCCAAGTATTTTCCATTGCGTGTTCTTTAAACATAAGTGAAGTTAAAGGGGTAGTATGTCATATTTCAACTTTAAAATTACTTTTTTGTGTCCCCAGATTACAGGTCAGCAAATCACAGTTGGCCTTTTCTGAATAAATGTTTAAAGTGGATTTTTTTATTTTTAGTCTATAAAATGTACCCACAAAAATAGCACCTCACATTTGAAATGAAAACAGATACAAAAATATCTTGTCCTACATAATACATAGTTTGTACTCTAGCTAAACCCCAGCAGGTGGCTTGCATCATCAGCTCTTCGGAGTCTGTGCACTCTTACTGGTCTGATTACTTTATTAGACCAGTAAGAGTGCTGACCATATGATTCTTTTAACATTTTGGCACTTTTTTCAAAATACAGCCCCATGTCCAGAAGACTTTATTTTCAGAAAAAGGAATTCAAATCATGGAAAGTTGGGTCCATTTTTGCTGCACAAATCTTGAAAAGTGCTTAAACACTATTACAGAGCAAAAGTATGTAGGAGGAATCATAATTGACTTGAAACTCATGAAGTATCATCGACAAAAACTTTTTCCACATTTCTACTTTATAGCGTATGGCATAAATATTACACTTAGATTTTGCAGTGAACTTTTTGAGAGTCCACTTTAATGTGCTCTTTTAACTCTGCTTCTTTGTCCCTCCAGTCCACTTTACCGGACGACATGTTTGAAAACGGCAGCTGCGGCGTGGCCGAATGCAAGCGCCTTTCTTTCACCTTCTCGGATACTTCTGTTTCCACGCCAAGCCCCGCCCCCAGCACACACTCTACAATCCAATCAAATCCCGAAATCACAGTCACGCCTCCGGAAATGGACCTAATACCTTCGCACTTCTTGCCACCGCGGGAAGACTCAATTGCGGAGGATGAGGAGGAGGACGAGGAGGACGTGGAGAGCAGGGGTAGTCGTGAAACCAGTGGGAGTATGGCCAGCGACGAAGCGACCGAGGACTCCGAATGGGAACGCACAGAATCCCAAAGAAACTCAGGATCTCACTGCGGATCAGAAAGCCATTTGACAACAGTAGCACCAGAGGATGTTTTCTTGGACCAAGCGGACGAACTCAAACCTGTGGAGTTGGACTCAGAGGAGAACGGGAACTTGACCCGACAGCTGGTGAAGAGGCTGACGTCCTCTGAGATGGAGCCGCTTGCGCTGACCTCCGCGGAGGCAGTGGCTCTCAGCTGGAACGGGGAGGGCAGCCGGGCCTTTCTCGAGAGTGGGCTGGAGGAGGCCATCCACAGTCTGCTCATGAGGCTGGAGGCCCTGACCCATCGATGCAGAGAGCTGCAAGACCTGGAGCAGGAAGTCATGAGATTTGAAGATATCCTAAAGGTGAATAATAATCATTTGTTCGTCAGTAGTTATTCATTGTAAAAGACCTGTGAAATTATAGAGATTAATTTGTGTTACGTATGTTACAGAAAGCGATGGGTCACTTCTCTAGCCTAATACTGTGAATATATCTGTTCACATTCTCAAATAATCAAAAGTAATGCAGGGCTCAGGCGACAAACACACACAGCCCTGCTTGAACTCTCGCATCACATGACACAAGGCCTCAATGCCGAAATAAACATGAAATACTTGGAATTAAAACTAAAGACATTCAAAATCATGCTAAAAGACAAGAGACATACAGACACAATGTGACGGACGGACAGACATTGGTTGCTAGCTTTTATAGATTGATATTTTTTTCAAGCTGTTGCTGAAGCTTAGTATAACCATATAACTGGTGCACTGACCCTTGTCCCGTCTCCCTCAGTGTCGTCTACCGGGACACAGGAGCCGCTCGTCCAGCCTCAGTCTCACCGTGGAGAGCGCTCTGGAGAGTTTCGACTTTCTCAACACCTCTGACTTTGACGATGAAGACATGGGGGATGACAACACAGTCCTTAACACGCCGCTGCAAAGGTCCCCAGTGTTTGAAGCCGATGGAGATGCTATCGGGTATGGAACTATATGTTGACTACTTCGCATTTTTAGTTATGGAAAACATTTATGGCATTATACTGTACATTCCTTGCATAGGCAAAACAACATGTCCAATCTATCATTGCTGGCATTTCTTTGTGGTTAGGTTATGATATTAGTCTATTATCAACATCAGCTGACAGATAAGATGCCTAAGAAACTGACATCGGAGAAGGACACATTCTGAGAGAGGATTAAGCTATTTAAATCACTTTGTGTGGAGACAGTCAGACTTCATGTCCCTGGGTTTGAGCTGATAGTAAATAAAGTTGTTATGCCTCAGTTCTCTCTAGCCTTCAACTCTTTATTACTTATTTCCAATCCAATTTTACTTCTAAAGCACTTTCAAAACAGCAGGGTTGACCAAGGTTGTGTACATAAAAGATAAAATAGTAAAAAGTAATATTTTGAAGGTTAAAACAAGATACAGCTGGACTAAAACAAGGATATAAACAACAATGGGTAAAAACAACTGTCTTACAATTAGTAATCTGTTATTTCCCCCAACAATATAATGTGTTGTGTCCTAGGGGTCAGCATCCCGAGGCCAGAGGGCACCTGAGTGAAGCCCTGACGGAAGACACTGGAGTGGGCAACAGTGTGGCAGGAAGCCCCTTACCTCTCACCACTGGGAATGAAAACCTCGACGTGGCTATTGTCATTCACCTCCAGTACTGCGACCACCTCATTCAGGTACATTAAACACATTTCCTGAAACGAAAGTGTGTTGGTGTTCAAAGTAGTTTGCACTTAAACAATGCAAACTGCAAACAATACAAATGTACAGGTCTTAGGTATAGATCTATCTATCTATCGAGATGCTAGTATGAAAGTATAGATGGTCATTTGAAAACACTGCTCAAAGTCTTGAAATCATACTATTACTCAAACATATATAGTAGGATTTTCCTGAATTTTAGGAAAGAACCACCCTGCACCTGAGAGGAGAAAAAGAAAATCCTCTTTTATACCTTTTAAGTAAAATTATAAAAGTACGAGTAATTATTGCATTATTGATGGACAATGGATAGAACTGCAATGTACTGAGGTACAAATGTTTCATACAAGCAAAGAATATGACGACATACGAAACAGGAAGAGTTTATCTGAATTTAGAAGCATGGCTAACTTGTTTAATGTTTTTTTTATTTGCAAAGTAATTGAGAAGGAATATTTGGGTTTAAAAATGAGGAGTAAACGTGAAAATAAAACTACTGCTTTTTTGTGAGCATTTATGACAAGACTGCCCTCTAGTGGTGGTATTGACTTGAATATAAGATGAAGTTTTTTATGGTTTTTATGTTTTATTTGTTACTGACAGTTGCTGTCGAGTGGTGGAGTGTGGCAGAAGCGGAGTCTACTGAACAAACTTGCTGGACAGACGCAAATGCTGGAGGAACTTTCAGAAATAACTGCAGAGAAAATGGGAGCAATCACATGTGTCCCTGATGGTAAGAAGAAAATAACAAACAATATTTCTGCCATTAACATTACCTGCAGATGTTGATGTTCTCGTGTTCTCAGTGGTCCCGGGCCTCGCAGAACGCTCGGAGATGATGTCTTTGTGGTCAGAGTGCAGCGGCTCCTCTGGGCTTTTCCACACCACGCTGGACCGTGTTTTCAAGCACATGAAGCATCGTTTTACCACTGCCCTGCAGGACAAACACCCACACAGCGCAGAGAAAGGTCACTTAACCTTTATTATTCAAGTCATTTTTGCAGGAAGAGTGTGCTATTATTGATTTACATAATGTTAATGTTGTATTTTTTCATCTGCAGTAATCAGTGTGGTTGTGGGTGAGATGGTGGACAAGGCTTATCTTACTGCTGGGTCTGACTCTGCAAGGATTGCACTGTCCCAGGACGTCCTGACTGTGTTCCAGTTTAACTCGTACGTGTTCCAACATGAAGTCCAGGACATGGAGAAGCACCTGCTCAACCTGGCCAGAGAGGGTGAGCTTCTGAACTCACTCCTGTCAGGTCTACTCATGAGCCCTCTGAGTCCAGGGCTCTTAACAGTATTCAAACTGTAACTTGTTGTCTAATAAGATGAAGACGTTATGCTATAGGCTGGTTTGTCCACAATATTTTACTTTTGCATGACTCTTTCTGTTGTTATAAACATCTAAGAATGTAAAGAAGTGTGGTACCCCAGATTTATATAGTTGTAGAGTAGTAGTATTTTTTTAAACGCTGAATATGGAACTTAATTGGGAAATAGGATTGAACCAGAGTCAGTGTTTCAGTATGATTAATTATTTCTAACATCCCAAGATGAAGATGACAAATTTTTTCCTGCAATAAAATGCATTCAATTTTACCATGAGGCTGATTGATGTTACTCTCTTCATCGTTGTATCAGAGGTGTTTGCTGAAGCCATATCTAGTGGAGATCACCGCCTGTGTCTGTCGGAGCTACGGGAGGTGCCCTTGTCGTCGCTTTGGCCCAGAAACCAAACCTTGAGGTCGCTGGCTGCTCTGCTCACCGCAGCGGATCCAGAGCTGAGCAAAACCACCGCCGACTACCTCTTCTCCGCACCCTCCAACAGCTTCTTCAGGGCCAGGGTAAGTCACAGTCAAGAACAGTTTATTAATAGTACTTTAGACTGCTTTGCCCTAAAACTCTGATGTTCACAGGCAGTGGAGGGTTACACCCAGGCTCTATCAGAAGAAGGTGTTCAGAGCCAAAGAGCGGCCTGTTCAGCACTCAGCTGCCTGCAGGTCAGTCACACATCCCTGTCATTTCAATGGCCTGGTCTACTTGTATGCCTCAAAAAACTAGAATATGGTGGAGGAAAAGTACTGTAACAATGGTGGGGTGCATTGATGCAGTAATAATGGTTAACGGAGGCCAAACCAAGTATTAAAGCATAAAAGTTACTATTAATGATAGTTACTATAGTAAAGTTTCTCTTTTCAACTTGTTTTCTTATTGCCTGTGTTTCAAGTATCACTTCAGTAACAATGCAGCTCTAAAGAATTGTATACAAAATATCTGTTTCAAATTATGACAATTATTATTATGATTATTACAGTCATCATAAATCAATGTAATTAATTGTGTTTTTCTAGGCTGTAGAAAGCATCAAAGCTGTGGTGGCTCTGTGTGATTCAGCTGATGAAGAATTGCGGCACGTGGCCACAGAAACTCTGCTCACATTTGGTAAGTGTAAAAACATTCCCATCCAAAGTTCATCATGTCTTCTTTAAAACTGACGTATACAGTATATCCCTTTTTTACATGCATTTTCTTATTCAAAGCACCTTTATAAGCCTATCCCTGAAGTCTGATGAAGCTGATCCTGTTGCCTTCAGGTGACGAGGGGCGGCTGGCCTACGAGCAGCTGGACGCCGTATCTCCAGAGATGCTGCGTCTGGGGACCCGTCGGGGCATCGCGGTCACTACTGCCTTCTGACCACTCCACCTCCGCTGCTGTGCACTGGAGCTGCCACCGTTTATGCCGCTGTAATGCTGCCTCATATAACGACAAAACTCACACTATTTAACCCAGGTTCCACTTCCCTTCATCCGACTGCCTCTGAGCCAGGATCACCACTCACTGTTCATAACCAACAGAAAATCTTTACCGTTTCTTTATTGAATTCACATTTGAGTGCATTATTAAACTATACTCATACAAGCTTGTAAATATGGCTTATTTTAAAGCCATTTAAATGCAAATGTTCTGTTTATTTACCATTTCTGTTGGAATTTATGTTTTCAAGGACTTTTTATGGATGAGATGTTTTTCGGTGAAGACTTATTGCAGAAGAACTTCTGTAAAACATTGAGCCTTGGCGAAAACTAGTTTACAACTTTTGAGGAAGGAAACTGTGGGAACAATGCTGTCTCATTTGTGTAACATGTTTATGCTTGCAGCTTAACAAGTGCAATTTGTTGTATATATTTGTATTTTTTGTTAGCTTTGAATCAGCACAAAGTCAAGCAGGCTCCTCAAACTGCTCTTTTGTATTTTAAGTATATTTCCATGGCTTTGCAGGTACCAAGCCAGCCTGTGGCAATAGTGATGTGAGAGATGGGCAGCTTGCATTTGTATTGTACTAAGAGGGGTACAGACGTTTAATTTAATGAAGTTTTGTTTGTAAGAAAGCTGCAGGGTGGACTTTGATTTCTTCTAATTCAGTCTTGAAAACTGGCCCAATTTAAAGTTTTTTATCCTCTTTGTAACTACTGATTGCAGGTGCACAATGACGGTCTCACTTGTTTTATTTATTTACTTACTAATATACTTTGAATTTATCTTTCATGAAATGGTGACATTATGTAAATTAACTGTACATTTGTTTTATTTTGGATAGATCTCAATGTAACATGCAAGTTATTGCATGCCTGCCCTTACAAATTATTTTAAAATTCTAGATTATATTACATTTTAATGTTTAAATGTACTTAATGTATTTTCCCTATAAAGTCAATGGCACAATAACTGAGGTTTTGTACAATGTTTTTTTTCCTCATTTGTAGACCGCATACACCACCGCTACAGACAATCGTGTCCCATTTGACAGACATTAAATATTAACCATCAAACAGCTCAACAGTTGAAAGTTCTTACAGCCAGTGATAAAACTTATCATTAGGGTTGCACATCATTTTAAAATGGGAAATTTGTATGTAAATAACACTTCATAGTGGTAAGTTTCACTGGTTGGGACAGTGCATGTTAATGAACCCACCACTCCAGATTGAAGCCTTGGGCTAATTTCCAGCCTATGTCACAACCACTTTCACCTTGAATTATGTTTAGTGGTAGGGAAAACTAGGAAATCATGCAGACAGAACTTGCAAACCCCACTCACAGGCACGGTTCAGACTAGGATTTGCTAACTTGTTAGTGCTGCTCAGATTACCATTGTCCACCTGAAGACTAAACTAGGTTTGGTTAAGCTTAAACCATTAAGGCAAAAACTTAAATCTACCTTAGTATCTTCAAAAATTGACCACCCAACTTTGCTTCATAAAAGCATTGGTTTTGTTAGTCTAAAACCACATTACGTCAACAAGTTTGACCACATGTGGGTTGGTAGCCTATCAAAGAAATGCTTTCCATCAAACGACACATTCAGAAAGATTCCAGCTAAAAAAGGCATTGGTCCAGGTTATGGTCTTTGAATTCAAAACCATTTCATAATGCATTTGTAGCAGCAATTTAAAAAAGGTGCAAGACTAGAGCCACAAATAGCTGTATGATTTTTTTTTAAGTTTATTTGACACTCAGATTTGGGCGCAAAAATATTACAAAATGTACAACCAAAAGGGATCAAAAGGTAAATCTAAAAAGAAAAGTCTCTAGAGCACAGAAAGTTATTCCTGCTCATGTGAAGCCTCGGGTTCAGACTCCTCGTCAGATGGATCCTCCACGTCACTTTGGTTCAAGTATTCAGAGTCACTCGATTCTTCATCTTCCTCTGCATTTTCAGTTTGTTCAAGTGAATCCTGAGCCTCCTCCCCCAAACACGCTTCAGCTTCAAGGGCAAGGTCTCGGAGTTGTTCAAGATTATCCGGGCTCTTCCCAGTCAGTCTCTGAAGCAAATAATGAATGTTGTGAAAAACGAGTTTACAGAAAAGTGACAAACTAACCCTATGAGCAAAAATTATACTTTAAAATACATACCTCTATCATGTCAGCCATGTACTGAACGTGTTGTGCCAGTTCTTGCAACTCTTCATTCTCACTCTGAAGCGTTAAAATTTCACAATTTTTTGTCTCGACTTCTTTGTGGAGCTTGAGAAAAAGAGGTAAATAAAATGTTATCCAGTTGTAGAAACATGTTAAACCGTGACAAAGGGAGCGTGGGAACAAGGCACATGTTAGCTAACCATTACCCTCACCTTCTCATTTTCTTGTAGAACATTATACAGGGCTTTACGCCTTTCCTCTGCCACCTCTTTCCAGTACATAGAGGGTGGGGTTTCTGTAATAAAAATATTAACATTTTAAAAATATGTCAGTTGTACACAAGTAGCAAAAATCCTTAACAAAACAAACCTTTGACCATTAGTTCATACGCCTCATTTGTCTCGGTGTGTGTAGACTCATGATGTTCAGTTTGAGTAGATTTTACTTCAACCTTCACCCTCTTTGGACCTTTGATTTGATCTGGAACCCACTGTTTTCGCTTGGGAATGAACTTCGATCCCTAAGAACAGCAAATTACATTTAACATCACACAGGTAGCCAGACTTAAAAGAGCATTTGCCAGTAGAGTAAGGGATGTACCTGTGATGCTCTTCCCAACTCTTTATTTGCTGCAGAAGGCTGAAGTACTTTAAGAGATGTCCTTTGTGTTCCTTTTGACTTGGAAGGAAAAAAGCTCTGAAAATACATTTTAAAAACAGCTTAGAATAAACTACTTTCCCATAAATAAATAGGCAGAACACAAACGAGTTCTCAGGCGTGGGAATAAATCAGTCCACATCAGCGTTTGTTAATATTTAGCAGGTCACACAAAACACAGGGCATTTAAATAAAAGTGACTGGGCTTGTTCAGCAAACAGACAAGCCTGTAGTTCGCCGCTTTGAGTCGTTTGCTTGTACTACTCACCAGTAAGTTCTCATTTGAGTTGTCGCTGACCGGTTTGAGCTTTCCATATGAGGCCATGTCTGTTCAGATTCCTGGGGACAAATATATATTGTTACAAAGCTCAATACAGGAACAAATAAAGCAAAACGTGCTTGCGATTGTGAAGGACAGGATGAGAACGCAGGGTTTTAGTCGGTCTCTCGACAAAACAAAACCGTATTAGACGATAACTAATAAACTACATACCGAAACGTCGCTCTGACTTTCCTTTAAAATAAGATGAGGCTGAAAAGGATCAAGTCTGCGGACACAACACTGCTCTCGGATTTGTTGTTTTTTTTTTTTTCCTCAAGTGGATCTCGCGCCAGGAAGTTAAATACGCCCCGAACACGTGACTGCAACTGCCCCACGTGACGTAGGTTTCGATCAGATTAATCATCCTTGAAAATCCCTTTAAAACTTTAGTACTTTAAAACACAGTATTGCAACACATTATTTAAGTTATTTTTATTCTTCTAATAAAGAACATTGTATCTGATTACTTTTCTCTAGCGTATTCTATTCTTATAAATGAAATCAATTAATCAACATACCCTTTTCCTACTTTTTTTTTACATGAAAAATCGTGTACTCCATTTATTCCCATGACGTAAAGTAAGTAAGTAAGTAAGTAAGTAAGTTTTTATTTATATACCGCCTTTTCACTGCAGATCTGAGTCTCAAAGCGGTTTACAATTGTTAATTTTGGGCATTTGTCTCTCACTCCACACAGAGATGGGAGCGGGGTCGCCAGTACAGGAGGCACATGCCAGAACTATTGGACATATTTTTAGTGGTAGGGGAAACCGGAGTACCCGGAGGAAACCTACGCAGACACGGGGAGAACATGCAAACTCCACTCAGAAAGGCCCTGGTCCGACCGGGATTCCAACCCAGGACCTTCTTGCTGAGAGGCGAGAGTGCTATCCACTCTGCCACCGTGCCGTTACCGTAAAGATAATATGTAAGCAATTTCACTTTTACCATAGTAGATTTTTACGTAAATGCATGTACTTTTATCTAAGTACATCTAATATAGCTTTTACTTCTAGGGGGTATTTTGTTTATCACTCAGGGAACACGTGACAATAAACGTCACATCTTTGTGCTTTCGACGTCGCCATTTTGGAGAAAGCTGGAGCTGTAGACCGCGAGTGACTTTATTAGCTCCCAAAAAACACACAAAGAAACTACTCCAACAAACACTGGACGACACGCCATTAACGATGGGCCCTCCGGGAGACAGCACACAGCACACGTCAAATGAAAGGACGGAGGATCTTCGCTGGATTGTCGATTTATCTTGACATGGCATGCGGCAGGGCGAGACGGGGGCAGTGACGACGGAGGAAAAGAGAGCACGCAAACGCAACAAACAACTCCACTTCAGACGTGAAGGGGCAATCTCGCTCTGGTTTAGCGTCCTGTTGCGACTATTTTAGCTAAAATGCAGAGTAAAACCAGCTAATTCAACAAACCGCACAGTTGTTATTATCTGATAGCACTTGCATTTATCGTGAACAAGGCGAAAAATGTGAGCGTGCGAAATGGTGACTGGGCGCTAGATAAGCACACACCTGCCTCAAATGAGCCAAGAAGTTTGGAAGATAAAATGTAGCTGTACAGCCAGTCACTACTAGTTAGTGTTGGAAGTGAAGGCTAATAATACAACCACAGCATGAGTCTGAGCCGTGGCAGTTCTGCAGGCCGCGCAGAAAGGCACTAAACTCCAGGAAATGTCAACTTACACTGGCCCTAGATGTTCCCCGGTGCCATTATATCTTGGCATCTGTACTTTCCTGCCATGTTTGTCTATATCCCCAGTCTGTCTGCGTTAACACGCTCATAGTACCGACTCTACAGAAATAAAACAATTCTCAGCCATGGATAAGGGACTTTGAAATTACCCTAATAATGGATATTGTCTGCTTGCTAGATGACGTTATATTAGAAAACACGCTCAAAATCTTTCCAGAATGAATAATCGTAGAACCAGTTCACTTGCATAAAGGCTTGCAGAAGTCCTTTTCAGTTGATCTAGTATACATTTTAATATGACAACATTGACTTAACAGTCATGTCTTAAAGTTGAACTTCTGAACAAACTAGGGAGATGTAGTCTTTGCTGGATAGTAATTCCCCTTCCTCCTCTGTGTCCTTCAAATATAAAAAATGACTTAGCTTGTTTTTAATTTGCAGATATTTTCTGTTCATAGTTGATGGGTATTTCGCATATCTAGTAAAGAGTTGTTTGATCCGTTGCGAAAGAGGGTAGTTAATGGTCATCCTTTATCCAACCTGGAAAAACAAAAGTAGAGTTTTGTCATTGTACATTAAACGAGACAGCCACCCAAAATCTAATCATGGGGGACCCGACTTCACGAAGAAATCAAACAAGAAATCGACTTCGTGCCCAGCTTCGAAAGAAAAGGGAGTCTTTGGCCGATCAGTTTGACTTCAAGATTTATATAGCCTTCGTTTTCAAGGATAAGGTTTGTTCTCAAAATATTCTAGTTTAGATCAATAGTTTAAACACAACACTGACTTTTTCCTGTCTGTTAATATTTGAATCAGAAAAAGAAGTCTGCTCTGTTTGAAGTAGCTGAAGTGGTGCCTGTGATGACCAACAACTATGAAGAAAACATCCTCAGAGGTGTGCGGGATTCCAGCTACTCTCTCGAGAGTTCAATAGAACTCCTGCAAAAAGATGTCGTGCAACTACATGCGCCCCGCTACCAATCAATGCGAAGGGTATGTTTCTGAATACTGCATATCGAAACAAAACAAATATTATTATGGCTTGTATTTCTAGGATGTAATAGGCTGCACTCAAGAGATGGATTTCATCCTTTGGCCACGCAACGATATTGAGAAGATTGTCTGTCTGCTATTCTCCAGATGGAAGGGGGCTGATGATGAACCTTTTAGGCCTGTTGAGGTCAGAATTAACTTATTTGATTATGTCACGTCAACTATTTTAAGACTTGAATATGATTAACAATGACGTTTGCCTTGATGTCAACAGGCCAAGTTTGAATTTCATCACGGAGACTATGAGAAACAGTGCTTGCATGCTTTGGGTCGCAAAGACAAGGCTGGAACGGTCATGAACAATCCTACGCAGTCTGTATTTCTCTTCATGGATAGACAGCACTTGCAGGTCAGGCGTTCAGCCCCAACTGTGAATCCACCACAACCACCACTTGAAATATAAAATGTCCTTTTTCTGTTATATTGTTGCAGACGCCAAAGACCAAGGCTACAGTTTTCAAGTTATGCAGCCTTTGCCTGTACCTGCCCCAGGACCAGTTGACCTGCTGGGGTGTCGGAGACATCGAGGACCATCTCCGCCCGTATATGCCTGACTAGGGTGTCCTGCTCCATGCAGCCACATAGGAAAAGCCCTACCCTCCTTCCCTCTCATCTCAGCCTACAGATGCAAATTTATGTACTCATCTCGTTTCTATTTACATTTTTGGAATTTTACTTGGACCTCTCTTTTTTGTTACACGCTCTCCTCTCTCCCTGACCTGGCATCGATTGAGTTTACACACCCCCCCCTCCCCTCTCTCTCTGCCATTTTGGATTGACTCCCTCATTTCCCCTGTTTACCCTCCATTTCCTCATCAGTTTTGTTTTATTTGAACCTGCACAAACATTGATTTTTGAGTGGTTGGTTGTTTTCTTGGAGCCACTCTGTCATCAGCACCAGTCTATGAAGGAACTCTCGCATCAGAACATAAAAATACAGTTCACAGGTTTTCATGGGGTTTCTCAGATGGACATGTTGATATCCTTGTCAAACAAAAGGATTGTTGCGGCTTGTATGTAATGTCAAAGGGGGTGCAAAAACAACTTGACACATTTTTTTAGGAGTACAGGTGTGAAATGGTGTTCATGCACCTGTGTAAGTGATAACAAGATGAACAATATGTCAAATCATATGGTGTAGGTACTGCTTCTTATACACCGCCTTAGATTTTGTTTTGCAGGTCTTAAGCTTCTCTTGCAACATTTGCTTTTTCTTTGAACAACTCTCCAGGCCGTTGCTGAATTCTTTAATGAGCTGGGTGACATTGGACAAAGGTGAAACATGCTGGCTTGTAATTGGAGATATTTCATGTTCAATCAGTCCATGCACTTTTAAGCTCCTAATAGTTTTTATTAAATTTTTTTGGGACAGGTTGTTGACAAGCCACTGATATGGTGGGTAACAGTTGTGAAATTAATACAAATTTAATTTGATCTACTAATTTGCTATAATAAAATAGGGTTTTGTGGGCTTGCTTGTTTAAGACGGACATTGAACAAATTACTTTGCTCCTTGTTGATTATTGTTCTGTTAATGGTATAAAGATTCTGGATTTTTCTGTTGATTCTCAATACAGCTGAGCATATCCCAATACAGCATTCTGAAATAATGCATTTTGTCCATTGTTTTTTATTGCATGAAATAATGTGTACAAACATGTTAAATATTTACAATATCTGATCTCTTCAACTTCTCTTGTTAGTTACTGCATAAACAAAAGGCGCATTTAGCTGCTCCCGAGGTGCTTGGTGTGCCTTCCTTGAGCGATGAGCTTTCCAGTGGCTTTGCTTGTCAAGTCAACTGTAGCAAAGGCTAACGTTTTTCCTTGTTTAAGAACCTGAGCAGTGATTAGGACGTCCTCCCCAATCTTTGCAGCATTCATATATCTGAAAAAAAAAAATATATATATATACACATATATATAAGACTTGGTTTTGGAACACCATGCAGTGTGTGTACATAATAACAGTGAGTACATATAACTTTACAAAGGCTTGGTTCCCGTATCGTGATATAATTGTGATTTAATCTCTGCCCACTGTAACAACAGTCATATTTTGTAGCATTCTGAATGCCATGACTGATAACCATATGTGCAACAGACTGTAGAACCCTTTCCAGTCAAACAGTTGTGCCCAGTCACCATTGCAACTATCCTCATTATTCCTCATTCTGAAATCCACGCCTTACGTGATGTTCATGTCCACGCTGACCCCCGGGGCGCCTCTCTCCGTGTTCATTATGGCCACTGTGGAGATGACATCTACGAGTGTCGCGGTCAGTCCTCCGTGCAGCGTGCCTCCGCGGTTCGTGTGCTCTTCTGCCACCTGCATCTCGCACACCACCTTCCCGGGGCTGGCAGACAAAACATCTACCTAAAAGCACGCGATGGTCACAAACGAGGAGCATATGAATGCATGAATAAGGCTTATTCAAAGTTGCACAAATGATCACATCAATATTCTCACCTTGCTGAGTACTCGGTCAAAGCCTGGCGTGTCAATCATAGCTCTAAACAACTGCCTCAAGGTGTTTAATGGCATTGAACCCATATTTAATGTAGAAATGCCCAATGTCAGATTTGTTTACTTCTACCCGGAAGCTGTACCGCTTGTGATGTGTATCCGCGAATACATCATGGGCACGGACTGCAAGTAACACCACAATTTAATTATCTGACGTCGGTTGTATTTTGAAGGAATCATTAATATATAGCATAGGTAAAATTTATCTCAGTAATTAATACATTGTGTTCTTTTTATTTTGTACTTGTGAAAACATTTTAGTTTAACAAACCCGGACAGATTTCGAAGTGACACAGGAGTTCCGTGAGCGCGATGCTGATGACGTGACTGAACTTTACAATAACAAACATTAGTGTTTCTGGACAGATAAATCATGTCCATGGCTGCAGTAGCTTCAGACACAGCATCGGCCTCAAATGTGAAAGAAAGTAGGAGTCGCTTATGTAAGGAGTTTGCCTCAGTCGCAGGCACTGACTCTGCGGTGGCTCAGTGTTACCTAGCTGAAAATGATTGGGAAATGGAGGTACAGCATTGTGTTGATACTGTTTTATTACAGACACCAAAGTCTCCATGTTTTTCCGTGGTTGCCATGTAACGTGAGTCTATTTACAGACACGTACTTTCCCCTTAAACTGAATACCCTGATGAAGGACTCATCTCGGGTCCAGAAAACACTTTCATGTGTCTGTTTTGAGCTGATTTCCTGTTTTCTCGGGACTTTGCTGATCAACAAACCTTTGATGCTTTTTTTTACAGAGAGCATTAAACTCGTTTTTTGAGGCTGACTTGGAACGTGAATTTGAATCAAAAGATTCTCAAGAACAGAAAAAGCAAAGTCCTGAACCGAAAAAGAGAAAGATGGCTCAAAAGGGACCCCAACAATGGTATTCTTATTTTCTCTGTATATAATGTTTTTAAAATAGAGTTTTAAATGTTTGTTTTAATCTTTTAAAGCATTGATTTGACCAAAGACAGCCCATCGTCTTCAAAACCCTCTGAGGAAGATGACAAGAAACTCTCTCTTATTTCTTGGAACGTAGATGGACTTGATACAGACAACCTGGGCGAGCGTGCCAGGGGACTTTGCTCCTACTTAGTCTTGTAAGCTGTTGCATGATCTTTACATTGTGGGACTTGTTGCACTTGTATGCATAATCATGATGATTATCTTTGTACAGATACACTCCAGATGTGGTGTTCTTACAGGAGCTTATTCCACCATATGTGCAGTACTTGAAGAAAAGAGCTGTCAGCTACCTCATCATAGAAGGTATTCACATGAGCGTCTATATTTTGCATATTCTTTTTGAAGATACTAAACTCTTCATCTGATTCGCAATAAGGAGGGGAGGATAATTACTTCAGTGGAATGATGCTCAAGAAATCCAGAGTTAAACTGTTGGAAAAAAATATTGTACCTTTCTCTACCACTCAAATGTTGAGGAACCTCCTCGTTGTTCAGGTTGGTATTTATTAAGTATCCAATAAGTAGGTATACATTACACAATACAGACTAATGTCTCCTGTATCTTTTTAACCTCTAACTGATTATCTTTATTTCAAGAACAGACAGTTCTATAAAACAACTTTGTCCACATCTAAACTTGTGAAAGCTAAAGCATAAAATTGTTCTTCTGTCATTAGGTGACGTTCAAAGAACAGAAATTATGCCTGATGACGTCTCACCTGGAGAGCTGTAAGGGCCACGCAGCAGAGCGGATGAAGCAGCTCCGTTTGGTGATGCAGAGAATGACTGACGCTGCCGATGACGTCACCGTGCTGTTTGGAGGAGACACAAACCTCAGAGACACCGAGGTCAGTAGTACTTTGAAATGATCATTGTTTGTTTAGTCTGTAGGATTGTAGGATGTTGCCGATCAATTTATTTCAGTAACTGTCGAGCCCTGGTATTATTGTCCTCCTAAATGTAACTATAATTAAAAAAATAACAGGATATTATTTTCCAGTTTTTAGCAGCCATAAGGAATACATAAAAGTCTTGCAAATTTCTACAAAAACAATCTTGTTAGTGAGAATCTATTGTAATGAGAAACTCCACTGGGCTCTTTCAGGTGGCTAAAGTGGGCCTGCCCTCAGATGTGTTTGACGTGTGGGAGCGTTTGGGCAAACAGGAGCACTGCCGTTACACCTGGGACACCAAAACCAACACCAATAAGACTGTTCCTTATGTGAGTCGCTGTCGCTTTGACCGTATCTACGTCCGTCCTGCTTCAAAAGAGGGAGTGCCTCGCCTCCTACCGGATCACATGGCTCTGATCGGTCTGGAGAAACTAGACTGTGGCCGCTTCACCAGTGACCACTGGGGAATCTACTGTAGCTTTGTGGCTGGGTCCTAATACACAAACATGTTTTATAGTTTATTCAAATTTAAATAAAAGCGCACATATTTTAATCGTTACAGCTGAATGTTCAATTTAATTTGTAATTTCAAGGACTATCCACAAGAGGGCACAACTGAGCTTATCCACTAAGATTATTTGGATCTTTCAACCTTGTGCATTGCACATTTTGAGATGAAATTTAAAATGCATTGCAGTATTTCAAAATAAAGTAGTTCTATGCAGTCTGATTTCTCAAGTACTTAAAAATAAATACGATTGTTAATATTGTTTTAAATTATATTGAGTTAATGAATAATAACTGCAAACACATTGCGGATCCAAACACGGTTTAAAACTGAATACATCTTTTGAATAGGAATCAGATGCATGACAATATTGCATGTGAGTAGGTGAAACTCTTAAAAGAATATTAAGTTACATTACATTATGGTCGACAGTTAAAATGTCAAAATCATTCCATGGCTCAATCATGTTATATTAAATGTATATATTAATGAAAAAAATGTTGATTTTGACTGAAATTTGCACAGATCTCTGCACATTTACAGTTACCCTCTGGAACATTCTCTTTTGTAAGCATTAAATTATTCTTTAGTCACATCTCAGGGTCTTTACATAAATAAGGTCATTGGCCTGTTACTGCTAGAAACAATCAGATACTTGTGTTAAAGGCATAGTTTAGTTTTAAATGTAATGTTATAAGCCATTGATTAAATGGCCTTTCCACTTATTGCATAAACCCTTCATATGTAAATGATCCTCAATCACCAGTGGTTTTACCCTCTTTACAAGGATGCCTTTTATCTGAGTTAATGTCGATCGTTGGTAGCACAGAAACTGGGATCCACCCCATTGTGAGACCTCTCCTTTTGAGCTGGCAGAAGGTCAAATGGTAAAAACCAAGGGCAAGTGAATAAAGCGATGGCCATGCAGCTCTCGCCCTTTATCACCGACTGACCGCATCCATCACTGCTCCACTTCAGAATCTGTGTGACAAACTGCCCCAGAAGCAAGCATTATTTCTGGCCTCTCGCTGCATATCAGAGCACTGACATTCATTTAGCCCTTTGCAAGATCAGGGAAAACCTCCAGTGTGGGAACAGTTTGTACCTGCAGAGGGTCAGAAGTCAGAGCCAGGTCAGAGATGGAAGGAGAAGAGGATGCAGAAATACAATATTGTGAATATACATTAGTTAGATGCTAATTAGAGACTGCGTAGGCCGCTGGATGTTACGCTAAAATACAGGCTTATGTGGAAATGGTTCTAATACTTCGTTAACGATAGAAATGCATCATGGCCATGTTATTTAATCTTGTTTACCTATTCACATTATGTTGTTTTACTCTATTGTTAAAGCCTGGCAAGTCATTTCTGATTATGATCTTTCCAAAAATAGTAAAAAGTGTTAGAGCAGCAATTAACACTGCTTTCATGGGAAACTGAGGCCATGAACTGAATTATTAAACAGTAATTCGAACAAACAGGATTAAAGAATAAAGAGTGAGATGTTGTCACCAGTTTCTTATTACAGCTGTATTAGAATAAGAGACATGTTAAGAAAAAAAAGTAATTTATTTTCTCATAAATAACACTGAACAAGCATTGTACAGTGATAAATATTATTTATACACTGTAAAATCATCTGTATTACAAAATACAGTATTAAGAGTAATGCACTTGATACAGATGGGGAAGTATTGCATTTCAAAGCACCAAACATGACCCATTTAACGAGGTTCATGTGTCGGGGGCTATGAAATATACTTCCCTCAGGAATCTGTTGTTGCATAACTAGATCTAAGTCTTAAGTAGAGCCCACCGGAAGAACCAGAGCCTGTGCCTGCACTGGAGTCACTGCACAGTCTGCAAAGTCATAAATACGAGGATGAAATATGGGAACTATCCATGGTGGTGGCCGATCAAGTTTCATGAGCTTGATTTTTGCATTAAACATGGCGTAACTTCCAGTTCTTCCCGACAGGACAGCTGCACAAATGGCACTTTGTTTAGAGAGTGTTCACACTACTTATCTTAAAACCCTTATACCAGTGCCTATTTGACACAACATTAAAACTATATTCCACACTCCTAATCTTAAATTCACTCTCCCAAAGTGGATCTGAAGAGCTGTACTGCTCACTTCAGTTGGTGTGTCTCATGACATCGTCTGGATCACTTTGTAGGCAGCAAGAAAATGTGTCAGAGGCAGAGGAGGTAAAAGGCAGACCATAACACAAACCTGGGAATGTACAGACTACATCATACAGTGGAATATGGAGCAAGACTTGTTCACTCAATAAAAATAAATCTTTACAAAATGGAGCCTCGGTCACAATCCGATCTACAATGTACCTTGGCTAACGACAGTCACTTCACATATATATTTTTGCTTTCATTCATTATTGCTTATCAGAGAAGATGGGGCCCTGGACCAGAAAGCAGTGAACTAAAAATATTTAGCATAAACTGCATTACAATTTTAAGGGACTGACATGGTGTGGAATGTGTTGTGATGTATACATTACAAAAAGTCAAACAAAGCAAACAAACAGAGGGAGGTGTAGAGCCCTTGTAAGCTCCCTTTCAGGAGCAATGTCACATTAAAATAAAAGAAAGAACACATTCGTTCATAGTATCCATGTCGTGTTTGATTGTCAGCTTCAGACACATCGGTTCAACTTCAGACCAAGCATGATCCAACGGAAATATAAGTTATGGTTTGTAGAAGTGGACTGTGCAAAAGAATTATAGCGGGACGCCCTGGTCTACTTGTAAAAATAAATATGTCCCTTACCTCCTAAAATGGCACATAAAAATGAATGTTTGGGTTAGTAATCTCCCATTAGTTTGGTTTCAGCACTAAAATATACGCGACATTCATCTTCTATCTATGTATTGCACAGAATATTCTAAACAAAAAGTACATTTCTATCAATGTACTAATATCAAATAATCTCATTGCTAAGTAAACAAAAAATAGATTTCAAAAGAGTTAATATTTTAAGGACATCTCGCATCAGCTGCATTTGAGCTGAGTGTGTGAATAAGTGTTGGTGGACATGTGGCGGCTGCGGAGCTGACGTGGACTTTTTTCCTGAACGCTCAAGAGTTTTCCCCGCTGTGAATCTCCAGCTGCTGTTATCAAAACTGCAGATAGAAACCATCCCCAACACACGGTACAGGGCAGTGCTGGGAGCGGGCTGCTGCTGCCCGCTTTCTCCGTCTCAAAAAGGTCTACAGCTCAATATCAAACATACTAAAATGATCAAAACTTGTTAATTCACGATTGATCCATTTTGGTGGCTGTACGGGTAAAACAAAAAGTACCAAAATGAATGCGTAAAGCATTGGAACAAATAAAAATACTTGAGGGGTGGGGAAGAGTCATTGTGTGAATGTGATCTTGAATCAGTTTGGAGACTGTAGATGTGGTATGTGTAACCGTGTAAAAAAAAATATATATATAGACCAGTGAAAACCAACTTATGGCAGGAAAGGTGCATAGGTTAGCATATTTTCTACATACAGCTGTGGTTAGTAAGCTCGAGATTGCACATTCATATGAGTTAAATAAAGCCAGAAGTCAACGTCGACCTCTCTTTAAATGACTCGCGTGTTTGACATCTCCAGTAACAGTAAAGTGTGCAATTCATACCTAGCACATTTTTAAATCATCCAAAAACCCTCCAAGTAGCCAGGTTTGAGGGCCTCAAACAGGCTGAAGTGGCAGAACTGGGGGACAGAATTTGCTGCTGAAAACTGAGTAAAGCTATCCCAAGGTTCTCAGGGCAGAGGACAGCTGGTTTGGAGAAGTCACTGGTGCAGCGTCACACCACATTGATGCAGTTCCCTGTCCCACCAGCGTGGGGTCTCTTGCTGCAGTAGCTGAAGCCGCTGTGGTTGGAAGAAGAGCCGTTCATGTGCGACGACTTGAGTTCCATCTGACAAGCGGCGATGGCGGCGTTCAGCTCCACCTGGGCCCGGTGCACCACGTAGAACATGAGGCCGATGCTAATGATGATCTGAAACACACAGAGCTCCTTATTGATAATAATAATATGCATCCGTTTTTTAAAGCGCTTTTCAGGACATTCATTCACTTCGTACGGTGGTGATAAACTACTACTGTAGCCACATCTGCCCCTCTGACCACCACCAGCCATTCACACACACACCAGACTCATTCTAGGCAATGGGGGTGAAGTGTCTTGCCTAAGGACACAACAACAGACAGTTTGGCACTTTACAGCTACAGCCGTCACACTGTGACATCTGGTGTTCCCGGATGTCTCCCTTCACAGTACTAACCAGGCCCTGCCCTGCACAGCTTCAGAGGTCTGACAGGATCTGGATTTCACATGCAAGATTGGCCACAAGATTCAAGTTTCCCCGAGATAAATCTTACTAGTTCAACATTTTTGTGGTTTTGAGTTATGCAGAGACCTGTGTGCAGAAGTTTGATTCTAATCTAGGACATTCAAGTACACAATGGTCTCCATTTACCAAGTGATAAAGTATCCTTAAAAATGCGTTCAACCCGTCTCACCCTGTACTCAGAACCACTGTGGCATTTGGGCAAGACACTTCTCCCATGGCTTATTTGGGTGAAACATTGGCACAACCTATTAAACCAAAAACATCATCATATAATAATCTACAGTATGTTTAAAACAAAATTTCCCCATTTGAAAACAAACATCTTATAGTCATCCACCATTTAGTGTTTTCACATCTGCATATTAACAGTTTACAGATGGTCTTCACACCTTCAAATAAAAGCTCTGTAGGACTGAGGTCATTTGTCAAAATGATCAAGAGGCTAATATTGAACTGACCCTCGGACTGTAAACCCCCTAAAGCTGTCCAATATTCCCGAGGTACTCACACTTGTCAGGATTAAATAAAGCAGAACAGGTGTTAGAAAGGAGGCTTACAGCCACCCAGGGGTGGGCCAGGCACCAGAGAGAGAAGAATTCACATATGCAGCAACATAAGGCACTAATGCTCAAGCTTCTTATGTAACAGTCATCGCAAATGTGGACTGCGGAGACGCCTCTGGGCCGCCAGTCATCATAACTCACAGAATTTGTCTTTGTGCTAAAAGGAAGTGTCTACAAACAAAAACGTCTGAATGCTTGTTCTGATAAATTACACAGTGAGGAGTTGCACAGCTGCTTGTGTGAGACAAAAGGTTTCTGTACTTTTCTAATGAAGGATCAAAGATATTTCAAGTTAGCTCCCCAAGTCCTGTAACAAATGGCAAAGTTTGACCTCCATCGTTGGCATGTGGTTAATTCTCTGTCTGGTAGAACTGTTAAACTGATCTTTGTACATTGTGAACAAAACATCAGTTATCTATTCTTTGTAGTGGCTTGAACAGGATGTGTAATATGCCAAATTGACTTTACTAAGCATTTAACTAAGGTTATAAAAAGGATGTTGCATTGCCAATTTCAAACATTCACTACTGGCTACAATAAAATGAACAAGAAGTCAATTAAGCAGTTTACCGTAGGCAGCTTTGTGTGAATATTGCTGATACATTGAACAATATGTACAATAATTGCTGATTATATAAAGTGCAAGACACTTAACCCCACTTTGCCCAAAGCCCCCACTGAAAGATCAAGGCTATGCTCACACTCAGAGAGCAGCCGTCCTCCTGTGGACTCACCACCTGCAGAGGGTCAGTGAGGGGCTGGTGCTATGAGACTTGGGTGGCATCTCTGACTGCCACCCCCCTGACCCAGAAATGGATTAAAGGGAAGAAAATGGATGGATGGATGGATGGACCAACCTGAAAGCTGAACACAAAGTATCCACTAATGCTCTGCTCAGCGATGACGTCCTCCATGGTGCGGAGCGTCGTGCCCAGATACGAGTTCAGCAGTTGTGTGGGCAACAACCCCACGGAGGAGGCCACCAGGTAGTTTGGCAAGGACACGTCTGTGATCTGCAACATGTGAGGAAAAACCTGAGGGACTGCAGTGATGGACCGACTTTTTATTTACAAAGGACAAAGTCAAAACAGTGTCAATAACAGTATCAAAAATACACATTAAACAGCATCTGCATTCTGCAGTGATATAAAAATAATATACACAAGCTGTTTTACATTTGCTCCCAATGTTGCTCCCAGACAACGACATGTTCCACTCGTGCAACAGAAGAGCTGCACATACTGTACATGATGCAACATTATAGAGTGGCAAAACTACATTGTTCTTTTATTTGCCTGGAGGCCTACAATAATTGCCCTGTGAGGCGGCTGCAGGAAGGATCCCTCTGCAAAGGAGTTATATTGTCTTTATTGACAGTTTTACATACAGTATTTAAGTTTAGGTCATAGAAAAATGACCTAAACTAAAGTGAAATTTTAGTATTTTTTTTTAAATAATTGATTAATCTAGTAATTTCTATAAATCCATCAAGATCGCATCATATTTTTAAGTCGACCCAAGATGAAGAAAACACAACAAAGTTGGAATATCCCATAAATGCATCCGATTAGGACGGTTTATGACTCAGATTATCTTTGCCATCTACAAATCTGCAGCTTTATCTTCAACAATGATTCTTCAATCAAACTTATTCCATAAAACTTGTTGGATTACATGCACACTGATGACAACAGTGATCCAAATCCCAGCCGGAGTCTCATATTAGGGCATACCAAGACTCCAGAGTTTAATTTCATAGCCCAGTAGAATAAACCTCAAAATAAACATAAGATCTTTTGATTGAGGCGATAGGCGTGTGTGCCAGCTGCGTGACCTTGTAATGTGGACTTTGTGGCTGATAAAGCAAACCAAACACCAAGCAGACAGTGCCAGCATGTCACCGGAGCTTTGAATAAAAGACTAGCCCAATGTGGAATGAGAAAAGGGGGTAAACCACAGAGTGTGTTTTTCAAATCAACTTTATCAACCTGATAACTAAGCCAACTGGTGTCTCTGTTCTAGTATCTGGGTGTCAAACTTTGCATCAAACTTTGAGTCTCATAATGACAAATCCTGTTTGACTTGAATTTGGACATCCTGGAACATCACTGTAAAAGGAAAAACATACTTGCTCTTATCGTGCTAGTTAAGAGCAAACACGTTTCCATCCATCCATCCATCCATTTTCTTCCCCTTAATCCATTTCTGGGTTGGGGGGGTGGCAGTCAGAGCTACACCCAGTACACTTAGCACCAGCCCCTCACTGATCCTCCTGCAGGTGGTGAGTCCACAGGAGCTGAGATCTTTCAGTGGGAGCTTCAGGCAAAGTGGGGTTAAGTGTCTTGCCCAAGGACACAACGACAGCAGTCATCAGTGGGAGTCGTGAAGTAGGTCTTATGGTGGGCTTGAACCCACAACCTTCAGGCCCAAAGGCCAATGCTCTACCAACTGAGCTACTGTCGCCACGTTTCTTCAATTGAAAACAAAACATTATTGATATGCCTTCATATCAACGAGCCAATAAACAATCAGGTGAAAGACAAAATATTACAAAGAAATACAATACAAATCAAGCCTCGTACCTAGCTTTCATACGACAAAAAAATAACACTTTGGTTCTAGTTTTCACGTGCATATATCTTTGGCTGCTGTCACATCTTTAGATCAGCTTTTTCAGACAGAAAAATGAAAAAGAGGACCCCCCTCAGCTCTCAGCCCTGAGTAACAAATAGTGACTCACAGTTGGCAAAAGATAACATGACCCGATTTGTCCACAAAATGTTACTTTTACAGGACTCTTTCTGTTGTGACAAAAACACAATGTATTAATTGTGAAAATGTACCCCTTTCTAGGAAATACTGTTGTGTAAAGTCACCGGTTAATAGGTATTTGTAAATAAGGTAATACTATCGGAAACAATCATTTGCACGATTACTAGTATTATAACACTTTATCTTTGGGGCTGTTTGTACAACTGCGTCAACAGCACATAGATAAATGTTTATCAGTGCCTCAGGTAAAAGTACATCAGGTTAAAACTACAGACGACATGCTTTATGAAGTCTCGCCCCGCTCTCTCTCTAGCGCGTATGCAGCTGTCCTCTAAAAAGGTATTTTTATAACTGTGCGGATCTCACTAAACCTCCCACTGCTGTTTCAAAGCAAACCAAGCCTGATAAATATCTTACATTTGTGGGATGCTTTAGGGGGGCGGGGGACAGGGAGGGTCCTTCACAGGGAGGGGAGCACATATAAATCTGGTTGTGGATTCGCCAAGTGCTTGATCAGCTCATTATGAAGACGCTCTGGGTCTGGGTATAGAAAAGCTCTATGGAGACAGCTGAGGTTATATGACTGTAATAAAATATACGGTACGCTGGACTATTTCTCCTGAGCTGTCCTATTGTTTTGCTAACTGCTGCAGTCTCTGAGTCGTTTTAAGTTACCCGATATACGCCGTCTACAGCAGAAAGTAGCAGGGGGCACACGGTGAAATGTAGCCAGCGAAAGTGCCTAGCAAGGACACCGCCGACATCACATAAGTCCACAATGAAGGACTACTCAACTACATTAAGCTGGAGTTAAGGCTCCACAGTCCTTCTCTGCTGCAGCATCAGCAAGTGCAGCGCCGATGTAAGAAAAGTATCAAAGTAAGCGCTGCATTCCACGCAAGAGACACTCCAAATTATATTAGTTTAGAGAAATAGTGAGCAAGATTTAAGTTTGCTTTATGTCTTGCATCTAATGATTGATTTCTAACACAAGGAGAATAATATTGCATGAGAAGTATGGTTTTAAAATAAATTTCTGTTACTAAATTTGGAAATCATGCCATCCTATTAAAAAAACATTACTGATGTTGATTAGGAGATATGTAAACGTCTATCGCTTGTAGTCAAAAAGGATTGGATTGAGAAAAATAAGTTTCTCAATTCAAAAACTTCAAACTTTAAATTAAATATGTTTTGTGGCAAAGTTTGAAAATGAGGCAAAACTAAAACCTCAAAAAACACATAATCCATGTAATAATTCAGATTTTTCACATGAATTTTTCTTAATATCTACCCAAAATGTCAAAAAGTCTCTTTTAATATCTAAATAAAAATCTGTAAAAGATGAAGACAGTATGTTGTGGTTTGATTCGGGATTTATGAATGAATATAGTTAGGTACTCGGGATATTGCCTACCCCTAGTAGTTAAATGCTGTTCAGTTAGTACCCATATAGGACATTTCTATATTAGTAATTAAAGAAGAAGATGCAAAAACAAACCCATTCATTACATGTTCGCTTGCGGGGTTTGTTTCATATCAGGATGAACTCTGACCTTACAAACAAGCCAAACAGGTCACTCGCTCTTTTAGAACAGCGCGACCTCCCCGATGAACACTTCTGACATTCACCTTTCAGCGCCACCACAAAAGGCCAACACTGGAGTTTGTGTGTGTCCGGACAAAGGCCAATGTAACACAATCTCAAATAGACTTTATGAGCCTCCGACGGATTAAGTGACTGAACACAGAGATCATATTGACCAAATAATAAATATCTAACGTTATCCCTGGCGTGTGTGAAAGACGGGACACTTCAGCAGAGCCAAAGGGACAAAGACTCAGCACAAAAACGATAAAGCACTTTCTGAGTCGGCAGTCTGCAGAACAATACAGGAAAAAGTAAGCAAAGACAACAAACACAAGCCCATCCACAAACTCGGCGGCGGCAGCAGTGAAGACACGGCCAATTCTAGTGATATAACACACCACAGCGCCGAGACTTTAGTGGGCACAGGACTGTTATTAGTATTAGATAGCAATATGGCCTACGTGCAGGACTCTACAAGGACTCTACAAGGACTCCATGTTATGACTATGATTTGACTGTCTCTTTGTGACACGTATGTCTTTCGATGTGTGACGTGACAATGACTATATAAACTGTGTACTGCCTTTATTCTGTCTGAGGGAAAGAAACAGAGTAAACTAGTGGAACTTGAGAGAAACTTAAATAAACTTCCAGAGTTTGGCACACCACGATCCGTCTCTGTCTGCTAAATCCTTACAGATTTGGTGGAGAATGCGCGGCTCGGTTTGTGCCATTCTCTGGATTGTTTTGAGGGAGTTTTGCTCAGTTTCTTTTCCTCTGCGTGAGAGATCGGCATGCTGTGTCTGGGAGCGGAGATTCCAGCAGGCTGGAAGAGCTGTTCCTGGATGCTTCTTGTCGCTTCTGTCACTTTTGTTTTTTTAAATTGAATATTCCGACGCGGAAAAGAGTTGGCAGACCTCTCGGACAGTCCTTGAACCGGTTTGACAAGAATAAGGTAAGCAGACACCTTTTTTAATATGTAAAGTCTGCATAATTGGATATTAGCTAAATTTTGGTGTGTTTTTTGGGGTCTGTCAAACTCTCTAAATTGTATTTTGAAGAAGTCTCGGGGTTAAAGTCCCTTTGAGCCTCGGGGTTAAAGTCCCTTTGAGAAAGTCTCGGGGTTAAAGTCCCTTTGAGCCTCGGGGTTAAAGTCCCTTTGAGAAAGTCTCGGGGTTAAAGTCCCTTTGAGAAAAGCCTCGGGGTTAAAGTCCCTTTGAGAAGAAGCTTCAGGGTTAAAGTCCCTTTGAGAGAAACCATGGTGAATTAAAAGTAATTATAAAAAGGGAAACGTTAAACACTAAAGAGTGCCTTTTGTTACTAGTGTGGAAAGTGATCACTTCTAGATTTGGATGACAAAAGTATAAAAAACAACATCAGTTATATTCGCTTAACAAAGTAATCTTGAAAGTTATTCTTCTGTATCTTTTTGCCTGTGTGTGCACATCTCTAGCTGCTGCCGTTGTCAGGGAAACGGCCCCCTCCTTCGCTGCTCTGGCTGTGAATCTGAAGCAAAGCTACTGCTTTAGGAATTTGGCTTTTCATAGTAGTTATTCCGTTAAATTTGCTAAATTTGCCATTTGAACATTGTGTTAGACACAGTTAAACGTTTTTAAACACCATTAGTGAGTAAGTTTTGAATATTATATG